AGTCCCACTCTGTGTCACTTCTCACTTGATGTCATGCGTGACTGGGCCCTTCATACGAACGAAGCATATCCAACAATGAAGGACAAAGTCAGTGTGCTGCAGAAAATGGCAGGCTTTGAGACTCGCAGCGATGCGTTATTCCATAGCTACCTAGAGCTCATCTACGACATCTACACAGAACCTCCATTACGCAGGAGTGATTTGACGTCTCGACTGGAACAATGTTTCCTCCTTGGATGTCGTGCTCGAGATCCTGTGCTCAGAGAACGATTTATGGACCTTCTGGACAGTAGCATCCCTCGTTCTCTTCAAGGTCGTCTAGCATATATCTTGGGAGTCCAGAATTGGGAGCCTCTCGCGGACCATAACTGGATCTATCTTGCACTCCATCTCCTTCTTGGGGCTGTTGACGGCGAAGTGCCATTGATTTCGGAGCGGAGGATCAGCATGGTACCCTTAAATGGCCACTTTGTTGCTCGACAGAATGCAGCGTCCATCATTCGTGCCATGCAGAGATTGGCATTCCTTGACCCTCAAGTTGCGCACGACACTTGGCTATCCGTCTTTCCTGCGGCGTGGGCATGTCTTTCTCGTCGGGAACAGGCGGACATGACACTCCACATGATCAACCTGCTGAGCAAGGACTTCCATGCCAAGCAGCTCGAGCTGCGCCCCAATGTCATCCAGACTTTATTGGGCGGTATTCATGCCTGCTCGCCTCCTATGACACTGCCACCCTATCTAGTGAAATACCTCGCAAAATCATACGGTGCCTGGCATGTTGGGATGGAGGTTTTGGAGACGTCTCTGGACTCCATCAAAGACGATGATCCCACTGTGAAAGACACAATTTATGATTCGCTTGCAGACGTTTATGCTGAATTAACGGAGGAGGATGTGTTTTATGGTCTTTGGCGCCGGCGAAGCCTCCAACTCGAGACGAACATGGCGCTTTCGTTTGAACAGAATGGCATGTGGGAGTTTGCCTCCAACTGCTACGAAGGGGCGATGACGAAGGCAAAGAGTAGCCAAATCCCATTTTCAGAAGTGGAGTACTGCCTTTGGGAAGACCACTGGATGCTTGCGGCAGAGAAACTCCAGCAGTGGGATACATTGCATGATTTGGCGAAGAGCGAAGGAAATCAGGAACTCCTACTTGAGAGTGCGTGGCGCACAAAGGATTGGGCCGATCAGAAAGAATCTTTGGAGGAGCAGATTAATCAGCTACCCGACGTCGCGACTCCGCGAAAGCGAGTTTTCGAGGCATTCATTGCTCTTCTGAAAGTGCCTGGTGCGCTGGAAAAGAACACTGAATTCACGAAAATACTCGAAGACGCAATGCAGTTGTCGCTGCGTAAATGGGTCGCTCTTCCATTCCACATGTCGGCTGCTCACGTTCCGCTGTTACAACACTTTCAACAGTTTGTTGAGCTCCAAGAAGCCGTCCAAATTTTTGGTTCCCTCTCTACAACCACCGCTCAGAATCTGGAGAAGAAGTCCTCGGATCTCAAGATGGTTCTACAAGCTTGGCGAGAGCGCCTTCCCAACCTGCAAGACGACATCAGCATATGGAGTGACTTGGTTGCTTGGAGGCAGAATGTTTTCAACGCAATCAACAAGGCATACATCCCTCTTATCTCCAATACCAACCAGAGCAATAATTCTGCGACAAGTAACTTCAACACCTCAGGCTATCGCGGGTACCATGAAACGGCTTGGATTATCAATCGCTTTGCCCATGTTGCGAGGAAGCACGATCTTCTTGATGTCTGCTTCAGCTCATTGAACAAGATTTATACACTGCCGAACATCGAGATATCGGAAGCTTTTCTCAAACTACGGGAGCAAGCGCGCTGCCACTACCAGAAACCAAATGATCTGCAAGCAGGACTGGAAGTCATCAATAACACAAACCTGATGTACTTCTCTAATCCCCAGAAGGCCGAGTTTTTCACTCTGAAGGGCATGTTCCACGCGAGAAGTGGGAGGAATGACGACGCGAATCACTCCTTCGGTCAAGCAGTCCAGATGGACATGTCTCAAGCCAAAGCATGGGCGGAATGGGGACGGTATAGCGACCGTATGTTCAAGGAGTTCCCTGGCGAAATGTCGCACGCTGCCAATGCTGTCAGCTGCTATCTCCAGGCAGCTGGACAATACAAGAATGGAAAGAGTCGGCCCCTGCTGACTCGGGTGCTCTGGTTGTTGAGTGTAGACGACGCGCAATTTACAATCTCTCGAGCCTTCGACACTTACAAGGGCGAGGCAGCATTTTGGTACTGGATATCACTCATCCCACAGCTTTGTCTTTCTATCAGTCAACGCGAAGTCAAACAAGCGCGATATATCCTGCTGAACCTTGCCAAGTTATTCCCCCAGGTATTCAGCCAGTCGATTCTAACTTCCTTGTCGTGAGCTCAATTTGGTTTCAGGCATTGTTTTTCCCATTGCGGACGACGAAGGAGGATATGCAATTCATCAAGAAGCAAGCTTTGGTTACGGCAGCAGCTCGCGCTCAAAATGCACTGACTGCCAATGCAAATAGACGTTCTGACGGTGACCAAGTAATGCAAGACGCCACGGCCGAGGTCCAAGCAGATATAATCAAGAAGGAGAATTCATCGAGCGACGCTATCGATTCTCAGCTTTCCCAATCCCAGTCCCAAACCCAACCAGCCCAGTCCAACACAGAGATAACTCCTGCTACTGCACAAAGCGCGGGCGCCACTTCTTCCGCTCAAAATGCTCCAGGTGCTTCTGACACCCAGTCAACTTATGTCGTCCGTCAATCTTGGGAACATGTTGATGAGGTCGTTCAGATTCTTAAAACGGCCTTCCCGCTGCTTATTCTGAGCATGGAGACTATGGTGGATCAGATACTACAAAGGTTCAAGGCTACCCCTGAAGAAGAGATCTATCGGTTGATCTGCATGCTCTTGCTGGACGCTGTACAGGTGAGTAATCCATGCACTACCTGCTGACAGGCGTGAACCATGCACTTCCAGAACTACGTGATGCGGACGAATACGACGGAGGATGATGGGCAGCTTCAGCAACATACCGTACAAAATATCTCCAAGATGGCTGCGAACTTGACTGGATCGGCTAGGGTATACTTACTTTTACTACTTGAACAAGAAAAAGACTGACTTTATTGTAGCGAGAATATGAAGAAGACTTTGTCAAGAGTAAACTCACACATTACGAGTACATCCGAAAGCTTCAGCAATGGAGGGACCGGCAAGAGAAGTATCTCGACTCTCGACCACGCATCCAGTCCCTCGACCTCCTTAGCCACTATCTCACTGAGTTCCAATACGGCAAATTCGATGATATTGAGGTTCCGGGTCAGTACACCGAGGTGAGTTGCGCGCTTGATATTGTCGATTTGACATTACACCTTGCTATAGGATAAGGACAGTAATCAGAACTTCATTCGGATTCAGCAATTTGGGCCCAAGTTCGAGAATTGTCGGTCATATGGTTATTGCTGGCGCAGATTCACTGTGCATGGTAACGACAACTCGCGGACATCGTTCTCAGTTCAGCTTCCTTCTGGCCGACACTGGCGCAGGGAGGAGCGGCTGACGCAAGTGTTCCGGACTTTCAATTGGTGAGGCCGTTCCTAGCTCACATGCTCTACTACTGATTTTGCTTGCTATAGTGCCTTGGTCCGCAGGAAGGAATCTCGCAAGCGAAATCTGCTGTTCCATATTCCAGCCGCTATCTCCTGTAGCCCCAGTCTTCGCCTCCTGCAGACAGATTCGTCGTACATCACGCTAGGAGACATTTATGACCATCACTGCGAGGAAGCTGGTCTATCTCGTGAAGATCCTATACTCGTCTCTGGTGAAAAAGTCAAGAGTGTGCTGCTAGAATTCAAGCAAAAAAGTGGCAGGGCGGTAAGTACATTTGCAATACGTCCTAGACTCATTCTTATAACTTTTGTGACAGCCGAGCAAAGCGGAATACTTCACCCTACGAAAAGACATTATGGATGAAATTGGTAGCAAACTTGTTCCAGATGATGTTCTGTCGAAAGTAAGTCATTCTATCTCTTTATGTAGTCAGTATCTCATGTTCTCGCACCCAGTATATGACAAGTGCCATGGCCACGCCCGCGGACCTTTGGCGCATGCGCAAGCAGTTTGCGCTTCAAGTTGCCGCGACAAGCTTCATGACCTTCGTCTTCTGCCTCACCAGCCGCGCGCCCTCGCGTTTCCACCTTTCTCGGTCGACAGGACTCATGACGATGAGTGAAATGTTGCCTGGTATGCTTATCATCCCCGACTATTGAATCAATTACTGATTGGGAATACAGGTCTAGCAGGTCAGGCGCCTGTGTTCGCGTCCAATGATGCGGTGCCCTTCCGCTTCACCCCGAATATGCAGAGGTTTTTGGGCCCTGTGTTTACCGAGGGGTTATTGGCGACAGGCATCATGGTTATTGGAAGGTGTCTTACCGAGCCCGATGTGCGTTTTTCTCCCTCTTTATCTTCGGCTTCATCCACTGACATGGACAACACAGTTTGGGCTTGAGCAACAACTTTGTCTCTTCGCTCGGGACGAAGTAATGACGTGGATGCACGGAAAAGGACATCCGTGGACGTTCGATTTGTCGTTCAGGACAAGCTGTGCGGCGAACATTGAGGGTGTGGTGAAACGTGCTGAGATCATGGCATGTAAAATCGAGCGAGAAACGGTGGGTATACGTTATGTATCATATGTGAGTTCTTGTTCTGATCAGCTTGTCGTCGTACAGGCCCAATCGACCACAAATATGGGCGGTATACCAGTCATACAGACTGTTACCAACTTAATATCGACGGCTACGAATCCGGTCCAATTGATGAGAATGAGCGAGGTGTACCATCCGTGGTTCTAGGTGATTGAATGCTATCTGAATGTTGTCTTAACGATCGTTTATCTGTTGGTGCTTGACTGCTGTACTGGACGTTGATTGCTTTGCATACATGCACGTTGTACATTAGACATAACATATTTAGCGCTTGTAACAATGGCAGTTTCGTTTCTCTGACATTCGAGCAAAGCGTGCGAGAAGCGTTGAGTCTCCAGTGCAAAGCATATATTCATGTCAACTTCCCCTAACAGTCGTTCACGCGCGGACGCGCAAATAACCTTCTGTTTGCCGGAAGGAATTGATATGATTCTCGCTCTCAAGCATCATCTACCAACAACAATTTCAGGTTCAAAAAAGAAAAGTTTTGTCAAAAAAAGTACTCACCTCCTCCGCCATCAACGCGATGTCACTCCCTGGCCTATTATACATCATCGCATTGGCAAACATTAAATACACATCCCTCTGAAAATCTCTCGAGGTCCTGATAACTCCATCTTTGATTCTTGCTTTGATGGTCTTCAAGTCCATAGGTCGTTTGATGATATCATGGTAATCGGGCGCTTCGGTCGGTTTTATAGGATTGTGGAAGATGTTACCGTTGCGGTGTTGTGAGATTTGAGAGTGTAGGAGGTATATGACAGCCTGAAAGCGCTTGTGAGGAATGGGTTGAGCTGGGCTTGTGTATTGGGCGGTGGAGCCAGATGGACCGGATTGAAGGGGTGTGGAGGGGCGTTGCTCGCTGCTTGTTGTGTCGCGTCGGGGAGGTGTGGTTACTGTGTGCTATGGTTAGTGGGTGCTCGGTCCTTTTCGAGGGTACAAACCTTGTTCCTCCTCCCCTGGTGTAGGAGGTGAGCTCTCCTCACGTAAACGTTTCTTGTTGGGCTCTTCAGCGCCTTCACCGTCGTCAACTTCCACTTCGTCCACCTTGCGTTTGGCTACGCAAAACGGATTACCGATTTGATTTTGTTAAGCCCAATGTAAACACACCTTGTGAACTTGTTTCGGTATAAACAGACAAGTCCTGTTCCGCATCGACTTCCATGGATGTAGGTTCTTGCTCTGCTTCGATGTGGATGTGCTCGGTGTCATCTGCAGGGGACGCTTCCTCCTCTTCGATTTCGAGTATCTCTTCCTCATGGACAGGTGGTTCCTCCTCGTGTTCAGGAGACTGTTGGTTAGCTTCTTCCTCAATGGACCCCTCTGGGGCGCCCGGTGTCAGTATTGCCTCTATCTCACTTGCCTCATCGTCTGGGGACGTGGGCTGGTGCTCCCATTCAGACTGTTCTGTTTCCTCCTCGTGGGTTGAGGCTACGGGTTCATCTGGTTCGATTGGCTGCTCAATATTTTCATTCTCAGGCTCGTATTCCTCGGTTTGTGGCGGGCGAGGGGATTCTGTTTCCACAAGAACTGGTTCAAGGGCTTGATCAGGTTCAATGTTCTCGGGTTCCTGCGTAGGGACTGGTTCTTCTTCTTCTTCTTCTTCTTCTGGCTTGGGGGTAGGTTCACGTTCTTGCTCCTGGATCTGATGTGAGGCCTCTGGTTCCTGCACAATTGAGTTAGACTGAAGATGAAACAGTCAAAAATACGCACGACGGCCGTTTCACCCTGTGTAGGTGCAGCGTCGTTTTCTGCCTCGGGCTCAAATTCTGTTCCGGAGAGCTTGGCATGAATTTTATCGTCCCATTTTCCAGCCCGAATATCCTGAATTTCTGCAACGATGGTTCTGGGCAGGGTTTAATATGACGCAAACTGCATGTTTCGAGTACTCACTTGAACTTGACTTCCTCTGCTGCAATCAAATCACGCAACTCCAGGAGACGTGCACTATAGAACTTCTGGGCAAGCTTGAGATTGACAAGAGCTATATGCACTTTGAGTAATATTTTGGAGTGGCATTCGATTGGGGCTCACCATGTGGAGCAGATTCGGTGCTACATGGATATTCATGAGAACATATACAACTTGGCTTAGCGCGATCATCTCACCACTCAAGCTGAGCATCACTCATCAGGCTGGCGTATATTTCGCGACAAGACTACAACAATAAGACTTGATCTGAGTACGCCATATGTAGCAAAAAGTTGAAACGGGCTGACATTAGCGGAAAAGAAGGTCTTTGGGCGGGAGGTGATGGGATGCTTGGAGAGTAACTTTGAGACTTGCTGCCAAGCATTTGCGCCATACTCGTACACTGCTTGTGCGAGTAAAAGACATTCTACGTTGGTCAATGAACTCATGTCTACCCGAGCCTCGTCAGTGATCACAGTCGTGTCGAGTATCCGTGGGAATACTTTCGGCGAACCCGGACCTCAACACCGGCAATAACCAATTCTGGATTATGCAACAGGAGACGTCAGCCCGATTTAAGACCGTTAAGTGCTGCGAACTTCGCCGCGCCTCTCTCTCTTTACACCATGTTACTCTCCGCGTTCGCCACAACACTATGCCTCCTTCCTTTTGCTTCAGCTGGTGTTCACAAATTAAAGCTTAATAAGTTACCACAAGTATCACCAGGTCATGCACTAGAGACTGCCTACCTCGCGGAGAAGTATGGCGCTGCACCTTACCAACAGCTACCTTTAATGGGTGCTGGCGGTGCCGGCCGTCACATTCGTCCACCAACTGGTGAAGATGACCTCTTCTGGACCCAGGAGGTCATCAACGGTGGACATGATGTCCCCCTCACCAGTACGTGACTGTTCTTTCCTCTCTGGCTGTCATGCTCATATCTCTCAGACTTCATGAACGCTCAGTATTACACTGAGATCCTCATCGGTACGCCCCCTCAGTCATTCAAGGTTATCCTTGATACTGGGTAAGGAATTTTTCTTTTATTTTTTTTTGTCGTGTCCTCAATATTCCCTCCCTTCTTAGGTCGAGTAACCTCTGGGTCCCCAGCTCCAAGTGCACATCTATTGCGTGCTTCCTTCACGCTAAATACGAGTCTAGCTCTTCTTCCACGTACAAAGCCAACGGATCTGAGTTCTCCATTCAGTACGGCACTGGCTCCATGGAGGGCTACGTCTCCTCAGACGTTCTCACTATCGGTGACCTCAATATCCGTAGCCAGGACTTTGCAGAGGCCACCAAGGAGCCTGGTCTCACTTTTGCATTTGGCAAGTACGTGCATTGTCCCTTGAAAGTATTGGTGAATTGTGGTTGACCCGCGAATTAGGTTCGACGGCATTCTCGGCCTTGCCTACGATACCATCTCTGTTAACCACATCACTCCTCCATTCTACAGCATGATTAACCAAGGTCTTATCGACGAGCCTGTCTTTGCCTTCCGCCTTGGTGAATCGGAAGCTGATGGTGGTGAGGCCACGTTTGGCGGTGTCGACCACGCCGCGTATACTGGTAGCATCGACTACGTCCCTCTCCGCCGCAAGGCTTACTGGGAAGTTGAGCTTGAGAAGGTTGCATTTGGAAGCGATGTACTGGATCTTGACATGACAGGCGCTGCTATTGACACCGGCAAGTCCCCTGTTAATCTGATTTATTCCAATTTCTCACTAGATCGTACACAGGTACCTCCCTCATCGCCCTTCCCACTGACATTGCCGAAATGCTCAATACCCAAATTGGTGCCACCAAGTCTTGGAATGGCCAATATCAAGTGGACTGTGCTAAAGTCCCTTCCCTTCCCGAGTTGAGCTTCTATTTCGGCGGCAAGCCGTACCCACTCAAGGGAAGCGACTACGTATTGGAAGTCCAGGGCACGTGCATTTCGTCGTTCACCGGTATGGATATCAACCTGCCTGGAGGTTCATTATGGATTATTGGTACGTGATTATATATATATCACAAACTTCATTCTGATAGATGCCTTCAGGCGATGTGTTCCTCCGCCGTTACTACACGGTTTACGACCTTGGCCGGGACGCTGTTGGGTTCGCCAAGGCTGTATGAAGGGTTGCTACGCAATCTCATCCTATACCGGTGATGCATGCATGTCTTTTGCAAGGTTTGAAAACTTCAATTATAAGTGCCTGGGTTATCCACATGTGTCATTACCTGCTATTGTGATACTCTCCTGTAGAGTTGTAATATGTTAATTCGATACAATGCTACTATCACCTGATCCGTAGCACAACGTACTTCAGAGCTCACAACTCTACATATATTTCATTCGGAACAGCTGGAGAACAAGTATCGTGCGTGCAAGTGTACCCAAAATGAGTGATTTTTAAGATCCATCTATGGGATCCCGATATCATCGTAGGAACTTCATATATAAAATACATCAAGAGAACCACAGCTGTTGAAATAGTGAGGCTAAACTAGGAAATCGTACTAGGTTGGCTTGGTATACAAAGCTACATTAGGTGACATGACATAATTACAGGAGCATGCGCAAATAGTAACAGCGTAATACTTACTACGCACAATGGGCGCTACATATCTATCATCTTAATACTTACCAGTAAATTCTCTTCTAGAGATCGAACATGGACGACGCCGACGACCTTCACAACTTACACCTACGATCTCCTTCGTCGCTTCACACACCCTCCACATTGAAATATGCAACAATGAACCGTATAAAGCATGCGCGAGTGGCGCGCGCACTAAGCGGAAGGCTAGATAGGGTCAGCGTGCTTGGAGGGGAAGACTGGGGACATACTGGGTGCGTCACTTTACTTGACAGGTTTTGTTCATTGTCCAACCCCGATCGATGGTGACTGGATGGTGGATTGCTTTGGGCCTGCTCTAAGAGGTCATACCTGTTCTTATGATTGCTCTCGCATTACTACGTAGCTGCGTTAATGCGGTCAGCTGGGCGCAAGGTGGAGAGTTGTTAATTACCAGTGGGGATGATACCAAGTGCGTGTGCTCAATAAGTCCTCAACCCGGATGGCTGACTTCGATATGTTCTGTGTAATATCATCATAGGGTTCGAGTCTGGCGGATGGACCCATCAGGCTCCACTGGTGCGAACGCATCAAATGCTGAAAGTCAGGAAGAGTACCCATTTGCGTGCCAGAGTGTAATCGACACAGGTCATACACAGAATGTCTTCAATGCACAGATGCTTCCGTTTTCGACCAGATGTAAGTCTTAACTGCGTTCACTTTCGATATAATGATAATTATGTTAGTAGCGCAACCGTTTCCGGAGATCGGCAAGTCCGTGTGTTCGACGTGGGCGAGGTGGTGGGACAGTCGCCTACGGGAAGCGAAATGGAATATACCACGCGGGAGTCGTGTATTCGCGTGTTGCGTTGCCACACTGGACGCACGAAGCGCATCATCACTGAGGACAGCCCTGATCTATTCCTTACCGTGGCCGAGGTAGCGTGTGTTCTAGTTGGGTTCCAATTTGTATTGACTAGATAATCAGGATGGTCAAGTACGTCAACACGATTTGCGTACATCACATTCATGCACGTCGGGCGCGTGCCCTGCACCGCTCGTGACGCTTCCGCATGAGCTTTCAACAATTGCGCTTTCACCGCTCACACCGTATCAGTTCGTCGTTGGCGGTGAATCGCCATATGTGCGTGTTGGTCATTTGATGTTTTCTCCTTGTCGTGCCTGGGAAATACCATTGCCTTGCCAATAGTGGTGATACTCTCTCATTTACTGTTTCCCTTGCTTAGCCTTGTGAGAGTCACTATTCTCACAATCGTGATCCTTAGGCACACTTGTTCGATCGCAGGCATGCGGGGCGTTACTTGCATGCAGAGTGGGGCGTGCCTCCTGATGCGAACAGTGCAACGACATGCGTCAGGAGGTTTGGCCGTCGCTCACGTGCAAAGGCAGAAAGAAGGGGATTTGAACACATTACTGGCGCGCGGATGTCCGACTGGAATGGGCACGAGGTGAATTGTTCAATCTCGCTTTATGAAGGTTGGCTAAACGTGAGGGACAGGTGTTGTTATGTATGTCCATTTGCTTGACGACATGGCGTGAGGATTGATGCAGCCAACACTTTATAGCATATCACTTAGCTGGGGTATTTCTCTATTCGACGCGAGACGAACCAGAAAGTTTCGAAGACCAGCGAGGACCGCACTCGATCCTAACACCTAACGCGAAGCGGAGACGACTCAGCACGACGAAATCGCCGTCTTCGCATGGTGAACCTTTAACTGGTCCAGACATAGAGATGATTGTCGAGGACCAACTGGAATCATTATTTGCAAACAATGTAACGGACAGCATTAATAATCTATCGCAAGAAGATGACGAAGATGGCGATAATGACGACGATGACGACGACGACGACGACGACGAGGATGGCGACGACGAGGATGACGATGACGATGACCACCTGTTCACCCCCGAAGACGCGGACTCACATCAGGCTGTGCCCGTGGTATATCCACGTACGCGGTTTACTGGGCACTGCAATATCGAAACAATTAAAGACGGTGCGATCTGGTTCATGTAGATGCATTGATTGGTGCTGAAGATCATCTCCAGTGAATTTCCTAGGGTCTCATGATGAGTTCGTAACTTCAGGGTCAGACGATGGCAACTTCTTCATCTGGCGGAAGTCGACTGGGGAACTTGTCGACATTCTCGAAGGCGACCAACATGTGGTCAATGTGATCGAAAGCCACCCGCACTTGCCTCTAGTTGCTGTCAGTGGGATCGATACGACAGTCAAGGTGCGCATCCTGGATACTTCTATTATATGATATCTCATTTCTCGCAGTTATTTGCCCCAGCTCGTGGAGTGCCATCATTTTCGAGATGGAACAATGCTGAAGCAATTAAAAAGAACAATGCGGCGCGTGCATCAAGGGCGGGTTTGAGTGGCAGTGCGGAGCTGCAATTTGCATATCTCGTCCTGAACTACCAACAGGCGCTACGTGGCACCCGAGGTGGAGGGGAGGAGTCGGAAGCACAGCTCACGCAGTGTATAAATCAATGAAAGATTTATCTATTGTATGTGTAGTATATATACAGTACTTACGAATAATCTTGGTTTCGGAGGTGGTGGACATATCACACGCATGGGGCCAAAGTCGTGGCTCGTTGATAACAAGTTCTGTAACATACAACCTTGAACTAGGAATACGTGGTAGCCTGGCTACATCTCAAGATACGACCATATCATTTGGCGTCTCTATCAAGTGAAAGTATTCATTTCCTGGCTTTTCGTCGCTCCGGCGTTTCAGATGTCACTTTGAATTGATGTTTGAGTCGTGTATGCTCGGGAGTGGATCATTAGGCCACTCTTGTTTGACTCACTGCCGCCGTGGCACCACACAAATCGGACGGAGTACTGGGAGCATACTTCATCACTTTTGATCAAGGCTTCCGCAGGACCTTTCAAAACTGAACCTATGGTCAATGGTATAACTGCGAACCTCTGCTGATTTGTTTTTCTCCTTGTTATGTAAGTTCAATTATCTTGCGCCCTGCACCCGAAAGGCTCCTGCTGACCCTTTGCTCTCTGTGCCCAATCACGCTGCCTACCGCTTTGTGGACGTTAATATCGTCTTTTTGCTTTCAGTGTTGCACTGTTGTCTCTCTGTGTGATCTGAGCGTTCGTTTGCATTCATTTTTTCCAAGCTGTTCAGTCTATCTTCCACCAACTGCAAGGGGACGTCCTTTTTCGCCCGTACAAAACAACACGTCACGTCTTTGCTTCTACCACCCGTCTCACCCACCTCTCAAGCGCTTCAACGCCGACATTTGAAAACTAACCATGCATGCTTCTCACACCAGATCGAGGCGCAAGCGTGGCAAAATCGACGACGTCGAGGACGACGGACCACCTCTGCATGTCTCACGGGTTGAAGACACCCAGTCTGAAGCTTATTCTCGCTCTCGTCCGCATTCTCATCAACAAACAGACTCCTACGTCCCTTTCACATCCCGAAATTCCCTTGCTATGAGTTGGGAGCCTCCCTCATTCACTGAACCGCCGGCATCTGACCGTTTTCACTCCCGTTCGTCCGATGTTCATCATCGTGGTGGCAGAGATAGTTACGACGTCCACGATGATGATCCACCGTGGTCCGTGCGCCCTAATCATGACTGGAACCACCAAAGTGGCAGGGAATGGGCAACGCACCAAGGTCCTTCAGAGCAACAAAATTGGGGAGCGTCTACTTCCTATACGGATAGAGGTCGTGGCCATGGATGGCAACCGGACGACAGACGGGGGAAGGATGATCGGGGGGATAATCATCACCATCCTAATAATGACAACCATAATCACAACCGCCGTCGTAATAATCGAAAGTTTCAGCAGCGAGACAATGGCTGGGACACTCGCAGAGACAGGCAACCTCGAACGCAGGATGTGCAGGAGGAGCCACCCAAGGATGAACGGTCTTGGGAACCTGGTCCCGGGTGGCAAGCACGTGGCCCTGACCAAGGGGGCAAGCATAATCGCAATCGCAATAACGGAAACAAGAGCAAAAACAAGAAAAATCAGAATAAAAATCGGATACGGATGGAGAAGGAGAGGGATAAAGAGCGGGAAAGAGAGCAGCGGCGACATGACGATGATGATGACCTGAACAAGTGCTTTGTGTTCGATATTGTGCTATCTTTCGCATTCTCATATTGTTTTGTTTACAGCTGGCAGAGACGAGAGTTCCATCCCTTACCTGCCAAACCTGTTCGCACCTCCCCTGTTAAACCGAAAATGGTACCCTCCAGATCACCGTCGCCTGCGGGGACACAATCGCGCTCGCGCTCTCCTGATTCTTACTACTCTCATATGTCTTCGCGAGGTCGTTCGCACTCAAGGTCCTTGTCTCCAAGATCGCAGCAACATAGCTACAGTCCAGTTCGGCGGCGTAGTCGGACGCCCACCAACAGGGGACGAACTGGCAGGGAAGCTCAAAGCTGGAAGTCATATTCCCCTGGATCATCCGATCGTAGTTGGACCATGCGTAGAGGGCGTCGACATAGCCTTTCGTCGGCTTCGTCTGCAAGCCGGAGTAGAAGCAGAAGTTCAAGCTGGAGTATGGATGACCGGCCCAAACCTAAGCACCGTTTACCAACTGCAACTTCTATCAACGATATATCACTGTCTATATCACAGACTACCATTCAACAACCACGTGGTGGTCCTCTCCCCACCTCAAGGGACCCTGAATTACGGCCCAATGGGAAGACAAGAACGAATGGAAAGCAGGGCAATGTAAGCATACCCAACATGACTCCAGAGAGGCGCTGATTATTTTGCAGCGACGTCGACATTTCTCGCCCACTACTGAGCAAATGCCTCCTCCAGCTAAGGTTCCGCGGCTGTCTACGAAACATCATTTAGGCGATTCTCCCATCAGCTATCATCCATCAGCTGCATCCGGCTGGGCTGATCATGACTCTCCTAGAATCCGAAAGGCCTCGAAAGCAGGATTTAGGCCCATTGGGGAGCCTAGCTCAGCGGTTAAATTGTTCTTCCCGCGTGATGAAGACGACGATGAAGCTGGTCCCGCCCCTGAACATAAATCCCCCGCCTCCCCTAAGATTCATTCAGAAGTCCCCGCGAAGCGTGCTCGCGATGAAGGTGCAACTGATCGAGCTGAAGATATGCGTGGAAGTATCCTCTCACAGCCCTTGCCGTTCCAACAAGTCCCTGGTCCACGTGAGCCCGTTACAAAGGCTCTTCCGGCTCCCCAGCCTATGCAGGTCCTGCCTTCAATTGTCCGTGACTCGCTGAAAGCTTCCATTGTACCGAAGCCGGCAGGCAGTGGCGATGTTTCCGTCAGTCCTGCCCAACAGTCCCATACAGTGGAGCCAGACGCGGAAGGGACGCCACGGCCGTCCTCTCCATCGGGGACGACATGCAAGGACCTCTATGCCATTGTCTCTCAGGTTGGCGAAGGCACATTCGGCAAGGTTTATAAGGCTCGCAATGTCATCACCAATGTCCACGTGGCGCTCAAGCGAATCCGCATGGAAGCAGAAAAGGATGGCTTTCCAGTTACTGCGATGCGGGAAATCAAACTGCTGCAGTCCTTACGACATCAGAACGTCGTCCGCCTTTACGAGATGATGGTATCAAACGGTAATTATTCTGTCATCTATTGCCCCCGAGTATACTTATTCCTTTTTCAAGGATCTGTGTACATGGTGTTTGAGTACATGGACCATGACCTTACAGGGGTTTTATCTCAGACTCAATTCTCATTTTCGGAGGCCAATCTGAAGTCACTGTGCAGCCAAATGCTCGCTGGGCTGGCATATCTGCACCGCAAAGGTGTCATCCACCGTGATATCAAGGGTTCCAACATCCTTATCAATAACCGAGGGGAGCTGAAACTCGCCGACTTTGGTCTGGCGCGCTTTTACCAGAAACGCAGGCGAAGTGATTATACCAATCGCGTCATCACTTTATGGTATCGACCGCCAGAGTTGCTCTTCGGTGCTACGGTATATGGGCCGGAAGTCGATATGTGGAGTGCCGGGTAAGCTTCGCTCGTGCCTTCTCGCACCGCCCTTTGTTGATGGTATTGTCCAGCTGCATCATGCTGGAACTTTTCACCAAGAAACCAGTGTTCCAGGGCAATGATGAAATCCATCAGTTGGATGTGATTTACCGTATTCTTGGAACTCCATCTACTGAGCGATGGCAAGGGCTCACCGCACTGCCATGGTATGAGTTGGTCAAGCCGAAAGATGTGATTCATGGTCATTTCCGCGACTTGTTCTCTCGGTGGGTCCATATCCAGATACATCCATGACATTCGATGAGCTCATTTTGATTCTAGATGGTTATCGCCCGCAGCCCTTGACTTAGCTGAGCGGCTTCTTGCTTATGATCCGACGCAGAGAGTTACTGCCCTTGAGGCTCTCGAGGCTCCCTATTTCAAGGAAGAGCAGCCTCCACCTGAGTTGCCTGTTGAGTACGTTATGATTCATTTTCTGCCTTTCAAGTCGTTTAATCTTTTTTTCTTTCTGAATAGCTTGTCCACCTTAGAGGGTGAATGGCATGAGCTGGAGACCAAACGGGAGCGAGCCAAGAAGCGTCGCAAACTAGAAAACGGGCTCGTATAATATGTCTCATCGGTATGGTTGATTATAATGTACTGGACAATATTGTATGCATGGCACCAACTACACATCGTAGTTTACAAGAATTGCAACCCATTTCATGCTGCAACCGCTGGTTGTTGGACAAAACCCTTCTCAGCCAGGTGTTGCACTATAGTCTCCACCTGCCAATCAAATGAGCTCAAGGATTGTCTGAGGGTACTCCTAGAACGTACATTTGCCGCCGTCATGCGAATTTGCAAGTCCCACCGCTTGGTGAACGAAGCACCAGTGTCTTCGTTTGTCTGCTCTACATCACCAAGGCCACCTGCTTTGCCTTGAGCGTCATCTTCCTCTCTTGCTGCATCGAACCAGATGAGCTTGTCGACTTGATCAATCGACCCTTTCAGACGTCCTTGCTCTATCATTTTTCGTGCCATCGTCTCTGCGGCTCCAGGTGCTAGATCTAGGAGAGCACCGAGACCTCTGAAAGTGATGTTATTATAGATTTTTGAGCTAGCCAATAGGTTATGTTCCATAACCGCTCGATCAAGAACGGTTGACGGCCCCCTGCGAGTACTTGTCGACGGTTCAGCAGAGTCATCATCGTCAATAGTTGAGGCAAGCTGATCATTGGAAGAAATAGCAATCTTTGCTAATTGATGAGGCCGAAGGCGCTCCTCGAATGTTCTGATTTCAGCTGGGCGGAGGATGTGGTCGAGGAACATTTTAGACAGGATGTTGTATGAGGGTAGGTCAGCAGAACGCTCGTCTCTATACAGTGAAGCAAGCACGCGCGACCTATTTGGACCAGCTGGGGCCAAGACCGCACAAGTCACTGCAGCCGACCTAGCGTTGTCAGTAGGATATAGATATCGCTAGATGCGACCTACAACATTTCCTTTCTTTCTTCTTCATCGATCTCGGCAAGCCAGCTCAGCTCATGATAGCGCATTGCAGCCTCGAGAAACTTGCGTGCATAGTCACTGATTCTGGCTTGGCAGAGCTTGAACTGAAGTTGTGTCTCTCGGTCTGATGTCGAATTGGAAAGGGAAGCGGCGCGATTGTAGTAAGTCTCCGCCTGGACAGAATCCTCATCTTCTAGGAGTAGCCTGACTATCCGAATATTCACGCGAAACTTTTCCTCGTCTGGTAGTGACCTGCCACAGGTTCATAGATGAGGGGGACGTAAGGGACTACTCAGATGAGCGAGGCTCACCGAGAAGAGATTCCCATAAGGACACGGGCAGCTTCGCTCCATTCTTCTTCCGTTTCTAGCAAATCTGCGAGTTGAAAGCGTAGAGAGTTGACCTGTAGAAGATGTTATCGAACCGCATCTTCAGGGGCAATCATGCAAACGCACCTGCTCTTCATAACTTACGATTCGGGGCTGAAGCGTGTTGAGAGTTTCCTTTACGATGCGTTTCCGCAGGTTGTGATCTGATATGCTTCCGGTACCAAGATTTCTGACCAGTTCGGAGAGGACTTGTCTTCCGACGACAATGCCTACATCCTGGACGACCGTTTCCACTAGCGTATGGAGATCGAGAGCTATGAGAGACTGATCTTGACGAGTGAGAATCTCTGACACCAGAGATAGATAGGCTGGAGCTTTGTCCTTCTGGTTGAGAGCTGCGAATTGTGTTAGTCTAGAGTCCATTATAGTTCCGTGTCAAAGTAATGTCAAAGACGTGTTATCGCTCGAAATCATACTTAAAAGGAAATAATCCAGGGCGTTGCAGAGTGGCGGTGTCAGGTGCAGTCGAACTGGTACTTGCATCACGACCGGGTATTGATCATCATGCGGAACAGCCATGTCAGATTCAGTATGGATTTCCCTGGTAGGTTTTCCTTAGGGAATTTTTACTCGGCTCATGCTTTACCAGGTGTACCGTGGACAAGACTGGAGGGAAAACTGTTTGAAGGAATGGTATGAATTTATCCAAAAGACCGTCATCTTGGACCTGCTCCGTGAACATACTCTCACTGTCCAAACCTATTGGCGCTCAAATAGAATTATCGACACGGTCGCCCTGACGATTTACACAGTCTTTCGTGTGATCCAATCTCAGGCTGTTCGCTCAGGTCCCGCTGAAAACTTGCTCTCCTGTTCCTCCCATAGCCTCATGCTATATGCTGCATACTTATATCCGCTGTATCTGTCGCACTTGCTCACGCTTCTCCCGCAGGCTCCTCCGCTGCTAGCCAGCGACTACTCTAGCCTCTTAGACTGACCTCGGTTCTCAGAGAGCCAACTGCCTACCGCTTCTGTTCAGCATACTCGCTTTTCTGGACATCAGAACAATGTCTCACTTTGCTAGCCACCCGTACCATACCATGCCAACTATTCATTCCTCCCAGAATAATCATCCACTTCCTCTCAGCCCACCGGAGACCGATCAAGAATCTCTACCGGTTCAACTGCCACATGCTTCTCTCGTCGCTGGCGCAGAGCTGGAACAGCTGGGGCATTCTGCTTTGAGTTTTCCTGAGCGTTCTAGATTCCAATCCCGCAGGACGTCCACTCTGCCGTACCAGAACTCGGGAGCAGTGCGTGAAAACCGCGACCGAACTCCTTCACGGGCCTCAAAGTCCTTGATCGTTGTTCTTCCTCCATCAGACTTTCCTATGGATCATGGTCAACTAAGCAACATGTTGTCCATGGGACCTCGTCACCGTTTATCTCAAGGGATCCTCATGCCCCTGTTCCCTACGGTTGGTATCTGACTACCGAGTAATGAGTGTTCTAACTTTGGGATCAGATGTACGGGCAGCTCACTGCAATCGCACGGGAGTTCAATTTCCCGAGCACCGTAGGCTTGTGTCTCTACCATCATATCACTGAAAATGGTATCACCATGACGCCGCGCATCTCTGACGATGTCTGGCAGTACCTGTGGGCGCATCTCGTCGAGTCACGTAACGGCTCCCAACAACTACCCATCGGTGGTCGTGTAGAATTTGATATTGATCTCAACAAAGCCCGCTGGTTCGATGCCTGGCTTGCCGGTACACTGCGCGACGACAACATTGTTCCTGCTCCACAGTCCCATGCATCTATACTGCACTTACATGGAGATAGTAAGACTACATTTGCAGAGGAACACATTGCGAATGAAGACCGCTGGGAAAATCAAACCAATCAGTCGAACTCAAGGCCTACAGCTATCCGTCAGGCACCCAAGAAACTCTCCCTCGTCGATCGGCTAGATTCCACTGCGCTCCAGGATTCGTACAAAGCATCGCAGGCAGCTTCTCTGCCTCTAAACCATGTTGCGCATCAACTGTCTCCCATCCCACAGTCTGCGGTTCCGCAGACATCGAAAGCCGAGCTTCGTCGGCGTGTTAATTCATGGCGAGCGAGCGCATCCTTAGATCCTACATCAATGACAGAGTCATACCAGCCCATCCCTGATGCTACATTGGGCGCTGCGGCGATTCAGCCTACGGATGAGTACCCCTTGGAGGTAGAGGCAGGAGCCCAAGAGCCCCTGAATTTGGCAGACTATGCCTGGTCCGTCACATCCGCTGGGCCACTTAGTCCGTCTCCGGATTCTCCATCGTCTTCCTACCGTCTTCCCTCTGTTCATCTTGATCGTCGCATGCAGGAATCTGTGCTGTTGACACCGATTACAGCAACTAGTTGGGGACCTCTGGATGATGATTGGCTTTCAGACGTGTCAAGCATCGATCGTTTGCCTTCGCCTGACATTGGTAGACGTATGCTTGAGAGCGCACCCCTCACCCCCGCCACAGCCACTAGTTGGGGGCCTGCTGACGATTGGCGGTCAGATGTGTCCAGTGTCGATCGCTTGCCGTCCCCAGACATTGCTCACCGAATACTGGAAGATGCTTTAGCGAGTCCAGCCTCTGAAGGTCCAGTTTCCCAGGTTAGAAACGTATCACCTGCAGGGGAGTCATACAGCCCATGGGCGAGCATGTCTGCTTCATTGTCTTCATGGTTCGATGTTTCAAAAGTGGCGACACTTCCATCAACTACTTATAATCCTTGGGCTGGAATGCCATGGGTTCAAGTTTGGCCTTGGTCCGAACTTGAGAGTGCGGAGTCTGGGCTTTCTTATAGCCCATGGGCCATCGTGCCTGCCATCCGAGCATGGCCTTGGTTCGATATTCACGCTTGCCAGGACAATGGAGACCTGGAGTTGCAACGTAGCACCTCTTCAAATCCCTGGGTTGGCATGCCCTGGTTTAACGTTGGACCGTGGCATGAAGTTGACGGTGTACAGTCTAGAAATTCCATGTTCATCTCACTCAGTCGACAAGGAGGGTTGAAATCTGAATATCCTAGTCTAGACATATGTGAGCCGTCATTGCTCGTGATTAATGTGTGATTGCTAACTTTTCAATAGACCCAGCTTCCTACCCTTATTTCGATATTTATCCTGCTTGCGATGTGAATAGCGGCCTCAGCAGCGCTGGAGGTTATCCTATACTTGAAATTTGTGAGTTATCATATTGACTAGATTTTAGGGAGATGCTCAACCCGAACAATAGATCCTGCAGTTTACCCTCATTTTAACTTATATCCTTCGATTGCATGCTCAGTTATTAATTCTGCTGAAAAGACGGCCGCCTCTCAGCCAAAAAAATCTGTCATTGTGGAACTTGCTCCAGCTTACCCCCTATTTAATCTTTGTGAGTGGTCGTTGGCGTCACACTTTTTTCTGGGCTGATTGTTTTTAGACCCGCCTCTTTACCCGTATAACCTCAATTCGATTTATCCGGCACCAGCCATCGAATTATCTTCATCTGTAGTGCTCCCCAGTAGCTATCCGTGGTTAATTATATGTGAGTTATCTTGCGCCCTTTCTTGAACGAGGTCTAACGCGCGCTAGATTCTCCTGTTTACCCTCATGTGAACCCGTATCCACAAGCCAGTGCTGAGGTAGCTGGACCCCGGAGAGCAAAAGACGAGATTGCGCAGCCCGTTCAAGTAAAACTTCGGACCACAATATCCTGTTTTCGATATCTGTATGTGGAACAAGCGCGCATTGATTACTGGTTTGTATCTCATTGTCTCCTAGATCCTGCAGGCTATCCGTGGAGCCTGAAAACAGTATATCCCCCAACCGAAGTCGAAGATGCATCTGAAATCACTATCCACTTGTCATCGCGCTATCCATGGCTAGACATCTGTGAGTCACCCAGTATTTTCCATAACGAGTCACCCTGACTGGCGCGTTAGATCCCTCGGTTTACCCTTTCGTTGAGCCATATCCGACGTTAAATAAGATGTGCAAAAGCCCTATGAGCATATCTCAGACTCACTACAAGTCGGAATGTGTGAAAGTCACCTTAGCTAGGTATTACCCGTCATTTGATTTATGTAAGACCTCACCCTCACCCTCGAGTCTGATGTACTGAACCTTTCATTCTAGATCCTGCGGCATATCCACACTTCGACCTGTATCCTACCTTGCCAAAAATCAGGTCCGGAGGTTCGCAACAAGAGGTGTCTGCCAAGGTAAAGCAGGAGACTCAATTTGGCGAATAGTGATTCAAAATCTTTACTCCTTTCAGGACATTGTCGATAGCATATCAGTTGACCTTGCGGGCACTTACCCATACATTTGCCCTTGTGAGTTGGCTCAAGTGAAAGTGAGCAATTGCCTGATACTTAATTTGCTTCACGTAGATCCTCCCGCTTATCCTCACTTTGACCTGTATCCACGTGTTCAGATACATGCGTCCTGTGATGACAAGGATCTGACGACTAGCAAGTCTTTCGATGCGAGTAGCACGTACCCCTTCTTGGTCATTTGTGAGTTCTACATTATGTCCTACTACTCGCTTTCTCACAAAGTACGCAGATCCTGCTGTGTATCCGCACTTCGATCTGTATCCTGCCCGTACGGCAGAGTTAGTGAATCGGGAGGAAGATATGAGCGACTGCAAGTTCTACGTTCCAGAGTATCCCTTCCTTGTCGTTTGTGAGTTCTACATTTTGTTTTCTCAGTCATCTTCTCATAGCGCATGTAGATCCTCATGTGTATCCTCACTTCAATTTGTATCCTGCCCGCGCGGCAGAACCAGCGAGTTGGGAGGGAGATATAACCAACAACGAGCTTTTCGTTTCGAGTAGCACGTACCCCTTCTTGGTCGTTTGTGAGTTTTGCATTATGTCCTCTTACTCGCTTTCTCAGAGTACGTAGACCCTGCTGTGTACCCGCACTTCGATCTGTATCCCGCCATTGAGGTAGAATTATCGAGTCGGGAGGCGGACATAACCAACAGCAAGTCTTCCGTTTCGAGTAGCACGTACCCCTTCTCGGTCATTTGTGAGTTCTACATGATGTCCTCTTACTCGCTTTCTCACAAAGTACGCAGATCCTGCTGTGTATCCGCACTTCGATCTGTATCCCTCCCGTGCGGCAGAATTAGCAAGTCAGGAGGAGGACATTACCAACAATAAGCTTTTCATTTCGAGCAGCACGTACCCCTTCTTGGTCATTTGTGAGTTTTACATTATGTCCTCTTACTTGCTTTCTCACGGAGTACGTAGATCCTGCTGTGTACCCCCACTTCGATCTGTATCCCGCCCGTGCGGCAGAATTAGCGAGTCGGGAGGAGGATATGACCAGTGGCAAATTCTCCGTTCCATTGTATCCCTTCCTTGTCGTTTGTGAGTTCCACATTCAGTTTTTTCTTAGCCATCTTCTCATACTGTATGTAGATCCTGCCGTGTATCCGCACTTCGATCTGTATCCTGCCCGCGCGGCAGAATTAGCGAGTCGGGAGGCGGACATATCTAACAGCAAGCCTTCCGTTTCGAGTAGCACGTACCCCTTCTTGGTCATTTGTGAGTTCTACATCATGTTTTCCTTCCTTTTCTTCTCACAGAGCATGCAGATCCTCATGTGTATCCTCACTTCAATCTGTATCCCATTCGCGCTGCAGAGCTACTGACCCGGGAAGAATCCAACATTCTTCATGTGACTGCTAGTCCATATCCCTATCTCGTGATCTGTACGTCCTTCAATTATACTGCAAATGCTACCCATACTAAATTAGCAGCAGATCCGTCTGTGTATCCCTACTTCGATCTGTATCCTCGTATCCTCTCGAGAGTTGATGCTCCTGCTGCAAGCGGAAAATCAACTGTTAGAATGGACCACGGGTACCCAGTCTTGAATATCTGTGAGTATGCGTGCCCACTCTCTTTCTGGCTTACCAAATTATGATTTTAGACCCTGCTGTCTACCCGCACTTGGATATTTACCCCGCGCTTGGAAAGGTAGCGCAGCCATCTCAGAAGGTGACTTATATGTCAGTGCGCCCGTTATCTGCGAAAAGGCGCAGAAAGACGCACGCCGAACTACACACCGAGGTGGCGCAGTCACCTGGATTCCTTGTGGCTAGGAGAAAGTCTACAAAAACACACCATCAGCTACATGTAGAGGTTTTTGTCAACGGAGTCACTTGGACACCTAGCGGATATGTGCAAGACCTAGCACTTCCTGACAGACCACACGAAGACTCCAATCGTAGCTCGCGGCGTCGAATGCCCTCTGTGCATGAAATAATACCTCGACTGCCACATTCCCACTCGGTATCCCTCTCTAACCAGCAATTGCCGACTAGTCCATCGCTTCGAGAGAGACAACAACATGTGTTGCATAACGCTCCACCCATTCCCCCTCTCCGCATCAGCAGTCCAGGGGTGCCAGTTGTGTCGGAGTTCCCAATTCCTGTATCACCACCTGCATCACCTCCGTCACGGTTGTCACAGGCCGTGAGATCCTTTAGATCGTCGATCATGCAGGGGCGCTCAGATAACCACAACGAGAGGGCGAAATCTCCCACAGGGTCTATGTTCACTTCCTTTGATCGACGCAGCTCTATGATTCCACCACTATCTTCTCATGACCCATCAGACCGCTTGGGACGCAGTCGTGTTCAACAGGGCCTTGTTTTGCAGAGGGCTAGGGCATATGAACAATCGACTTGTATGTCATTTTCTTTCTGCGTTCACTTGGAATCAAATCTGACCATCGAATTCAAAGCTTCATCCAGGCATCGTTCTCACAGCGTGCAAGACACGCAATTACCACTGCCCTCACTGCTTCCCATTCCTGATTTTCCCCATGCAATAGATCTGAGTTTGAAGGCTGACATGGACGGGGGGTCAAGTCTGTTAAAGAACGCCACTCCTTCAACCTCGTCTTGAATTGTACATGTGTTTGTTGTATTTCTACAAATTAATCGATTCATATAATAATACTTGACCGTTGGTCTGCGTAAATGCGAACATGTTAGATCGGCAGGGATTGAAATGATCAGTCACGATACGGGGGAAGTTCATCTACTACAGGGTCAGGTGATGACAAAACATGACCACTACCTGGCATTTCTGCATTGGAGGGCGGTGGAGAAGGGGATATAGTTCCTTCGCCGTCTACACTCGGACGGTGAAGGGCTCGAACTTCGCGATTGTGGCGATCGCGCTGATCACGAAGCATCTTGGTTTTGCGGTCGTCCATGAAAGCCAGTAGAGCCTGTGATTTGATGAGGGCTGGATAACATAATACCTAGTTGTTCCAGTGACGTACATTTCGTTTGGCAGCCTCAGCGGCAGCCTTCGTTTCAGCCGCACTTGTTTGAGACCTGGCTGATTTTTTCTCAGCTAGTTCTATAGTCTCTTGTAATATTTGAGCGCCAAGGCGTAGTTCTTCGCTTTTGCGCTCATTCCAGACGTAGAGGGGCTGAAATTCCTTGACCTGCAAGGAACTCGAGATAAAGCGGTGTTAGCACAGTACTGACAGGGAAGACATACCTCCGGACGAAACCCCATCTGTCCTCTCGAGATCAGATAGGTACATACAAAAGTCATTTCGGTCAAACGCACCTCAATTGCATACTCTAGCGCACCCTTGGTTTCAATCAAGCGCCGTCTGATCGTATCATTTGTCGACTTGAACTGCCGGAATTTGGGGTTTTCAGGCTCTCGTAACAGATTCTCAGAGATCTTTGATAATATCTTGCGAGAGGCCCGTTATCGATAAGTTGTTCATGTATGATAATTGATGCATCCACTGCATACCTTCAAGGAAGCCATCGCCGCTTCATGGGAATTAGGCCTCAGGATTCCGGGGTCTATCAGACGTCGAAACTTCTGCTGCTGCTCATGCTGTCGAAGGAGTTCAAAACCAGAAACTGCTGATCCTGTCGTGGCACTGCGGCGTTGGGCTGCTGCAGCAAGAAACTCCGGGTCAGGTGGTGAATTAGTATCTGAAGACATCCTAGTCGATGTGGTTGGAAGCCAAGCGCAACTGGAATTTTCCCGTGACCTCTACTTCATATTTACACACACTGATAGTACTCGGCTCAGATCATCTAAGAATATGGTCAGTGCAGGACTAATGTTATCTATAGTAAGGAAAGTATCGAAGCGTCAGGTAGTCTATAGCACTGCGGGACAGTGGACAGTCTGAATCATCGTCTCGTGATTCTCGTTGTGCACACAGAACCTCAAAACTCTCGCAATAATCGACCACCTCTGAAACATACCACCGTTCTTGAAGGCTGAACGTCTCTGAATATGACGCTGCGGGGTGCTATTATCATAGTGTACGTGGGGGTAGTATGCACTTCAAGTAGTTGAATAGGGGGTGAATATGGCAGCTGGCCAATTTTCGGTAAGCGCTAGAAGGTCAATCGACTCCTTGCTTGAGAACACGCCAGTACGCACTAAGTCACAAACAGAAGATGATATCGTTGCTGAAGGTGTTGAGATGCGAAGCACAATCAGACGTGGCCCGTGCAGTGCGTATAAAGTACGAGCGGAACTTACCGAAATATGCATCCAAAGAGTATGAGGAGAGTAAAAATACATAATGAAAGTCATAGCTACAGTTGGTATACAATAGGAACACTAGATCAGTACTAGTCTTGATCCATTCCTTCTTCATCTGAAACCGCATCTTCATCCAATTCAGTATTCAAGTAAAGAGCGGACTGTGGTTGGAAGTGGTCCAATTCATCCTCCGATGAACTCTCACTACTCCAGGCAAATTCTGATGCATTTACACTCAAACTCCTCCCGCTGGATTTGGCAGGTCTATGAGAACCTGAGAATGGCATCGACAACGATCCTGGCCCAAGTCTTCTGAAGAATGTAGACGAGTTAGAAGTAGTTTTGCCTTGGTTCATCAGCAGATGGTTCTGGCGTGGCTGTACGCGGGCTTGCAGATGAGTTTCCAGCTCCACTGTCGTCGTTGCGATCGAGGAGTTCAGATGCCCACTTGCGACGCAGCACAGGAGAACGTAAAGGGTCGGTAATATTGTTATAGTCGTTCTCATACGGTGTACTCGTCTCAGATTCGCGTGGAGCACCAGCTGTAGGGCGACCACGGCGTAAGTACCAAGCCGTGCCATTGTCTTTGAATGCACGTTCGGTGTCCGAGTCTAATGGTATTGGCGACTCGGACCTTGTACGAAGTCGGGAGCCAGTAACGGGCTCAGGGACGGCCCGACCGTTGACAACAATATTTCGGGTGTCACCGGGATTTGTACGGGACCGAATTTGGTCCATTGCTATGCGGACTGCCTGTCGACCCATGAGAATCTCATTTTCTATGCGAAATCGATTTTCGATCATATGCAACTGAAGTCAATAATGAGCAAATGAGTGACACGGAGCGCCAGTAGCTCCGACCTTAGGCCAGGTTGCAATTTGCCCGACTTTCATCATTCGTTCGAGCTCGACCCAGTCTGGGTCGCTCAAGATATGTAACCAATCCTATCATTCAATCAGCCATCAGCATCGTATTTAGAGAATGCTGTGTGGAATACACACCAAAATTCGCGTCCTCGGCCAAATTCTGAAGCCGAGTATGAGTATTGTCGGATGGTCAGATGATTGGTACATACGTGACAGCCCCATCAAAACGTTGCAGAAAGACACTAGACCAGTCCTGTCCAAGCAACTGCGGAAGAAGCTCAAGATCACGAATCACCTGGTCGGAATGGTTTACTTGGAATCTAAAGGCACGATCAAACAAGCATTTACCTTGAAGTTCTTTGTTAGCTCTAGTTTCAGCCACTGTTCCGCCGCAGACAGAATAAAATTGCCTCGCCACCCTGTAAACGCATGAAGCACTGACTATAAAAAAAATAAGATGTTCATCCCATACCCTTTCCTTTCCTGTGAGCTACCGGTTTTCCTGCCGACCCACGAGGCGCAAAGAAGAATAAATGGACATGGGGGTTCACTTGCGACACAACCGGGTGAGTAACTGGATCATAATCAGCCGGTCATGATCGTCCAACAACAGACGATCTTACCATTGAAGTACATTTTGAGAGCTTGAAGAGGAATATCAACCCTGGTTGATGTCAGAGGCGTATGAAGATATTTCGGCAGATCATGCCTGCTTACCTTAAAGACCCGTCCTTGAACTTGCTACCCCAATTCCATGGCACTACGCGGCCATCGTGGAGCTTTTGCATGAGCACAACCGGGTTGAGAATCCCGGGTACAGCTGCTGAAGCGAGTAGGGCCGTCCAAATTATCGTATCCGGCGCAGTCATGTAATTCAAGAGCTTCGTGGGGCTGAAATAATGTCAGCTATTTTAGACTCAAAGCCCACATGACAAACTTACGCATGGCGATCAGCGGGGACAACAGAAATGTTGAGAATCCGCCCGGTCCGTAGATAAGCTTCTCGAAAGGTCATGGAACCTCTTGTAAAGAATGTGCACTATAAAACAACAAATCAAAAAAGAAACATCGGTTGAGTATGCCTGCCGACTTTACGAGCCCACACAACACTAGTCAAATCTTGCACCGGTAGCCCAGAAACGCTTTATCCATACAGTAAAGGAGTCTTCACATGCTGTCAGTTTTTGGGCGAGTTCCGGAACAAGAAGAGTCTTCAGTTCTGCGTCTGTACGTGTGCATACCAGAGCGGCAACGAGACCACCAGCAGATGTTCCGGCAATAACTCGGGGAAGCAGCCCTGCATCTAGGAAAGCTTTCACTACACCGAAATGGTCTAGAAGAGCGAGTCAACTGTCAATTACGTGGAGTAGATTTCGACTTACAATACCCAAAAGACGCGCCACCTGAGAGACATAAGGCAGATGCTCCCAGATTAGTACTAGCATTTTTGAAGAATTTCCTCTTCTCTTCAATAGAAAGCTCCGAGGACTCTCGAACGAATTGTAGTGCGCTTTGCAACTCCGTATGGTACGCTATCAAAGAATTAGACCGAATGAGATATATCCTGGTAGAAACTGACATTCGATTAAGTCCTTGGTACCCAGGAAAGTCTGGTATCTCAAAGTTGCGGATTAGGCTCCTATTTCAAGGATAAAATGCTTACCTCACTATAAAGTCTAAAAGAATCATGAATGGGAGTGGGATTGAGCAATATAAAAAACTCACCTGGAAGACTCGACTCCTACAAAATTGCTTCGGATACACGTCTCTAATACACCGAGAACGCCGCGAACATCCTTCTTCTCTCTCAAAATCTTCAACGACCGATTCACCTGACAAGTGTCGCTTTAAGCTACTGTGTTTGATGTACGGGACTTTCTTCACCTTGCGCAGAAGTTTCCAATCATAAAATGCATCCTCAGTCAACCTTTTTCCAGTCATTGAACATAAGGTATTTGTCGAGCATCATGGCCGTTTCCTTCCATTCCTAGAGTCAAAAGTGAGAGACTGATCTAAATGTCAAGATTCAGGACATGTGACACACCTGATACGTGCGCGCCCCACGAAGACGCTTTCGTAGAAGGCCCTTCTGTCCTCGCCCTTTGAAATTTGAATGAGCCACAAAGTGTCGGTACATTTAAGGTCAAACTTGCATGCCAGCAACCATTCTTTGGTGTTCACGAGTTGTCTAATAAGGATGTAGAACCCAAATTGAGCCGCAATGAGGACAAATATCAAAAGCTGGTATAGAATAAATATTGAGAGAGCCCAAAATAGTGATTGATGCTTACAAGGAGTGGCCATCGGAGCACGAGAAACGACCACTCTTGCCTCCTGCCCGGAGACTTATCCCCCTTCCGTTTTCTGGCCACAGTAAGTTTGGCAGGATCAATTAACCGAGAAATGAAGCTCCATACCTCTTCACCTTCAAGTTGATTGGAGCGAAATCGGAAAGAGCGGAGACCTTCCTCACTCGAGGGCTCTGTGGCACAGGAGAGCTGGGAACGGTGTGGGGTGAAGCTGCTGATAGAGCATCATGACCATCTAGGTCGTCCGACTGTAGGGCGTCGATGAAAGCTTGTATGTGTCTGCGGGGGGGTTCCGTCAAAACTAGAACTGACAACCAGGGCAAAGGACCAACAATTCGTTCACGTAGCCTGAATCGAGTAAATCCGCTGGCGCTTCCATCGGTCTTCTATTGCCAGCGGCGGTAAGTTGTATGAAAGAGTCAGCGAACGGGGTCCAGGTCGTATACAGCGTACACACGGTGTGGTGCTATCTGGGCCGATAGACACGTGATCTGATTTAATCCAAAGCAACTTTATCGGTTGAACCCACCTGCCCGTTGAGCTCCATTCCCTAAACTCGTTTGTATACATACAATTACTTTCTCAGTTTCCTCAGTGTATCCTACCAATTAGATATTTCCCAAAATTACCACAGCATACCCATTTACATGCTGTTCTGTCCGACATGTGCTAATCTGCTTGTAATATCCTCGGAAACAGGCTACAATAAATGGGCGTGCAATACGTGCGCATACGAGTTTCCGATCTCGAAGCAAGTGTGTATCTTGTATATTTATCATCACCGCACGGTATTTTAATGCTAGCCTCTAGATGACTTCACGCTCGCGTATGAAACGCAAGGTGGTAGATGATGTGCTTGGGGGGGAGGAGACTTGGCGGGATGCTGATTCTACTGCAGGTCAGCCCCCAATTGAGGCTTGATGTAGGAATTTTGGATACTGATCTGCGACCAATAGTCGCTTGTGACAAGTGTGGTCACCCACGCGCGTATTTCTATCAGCTACAGATTAGATCCGCAGATGAGCCTATGACGACGTGTGCGTTTAGCTTACTTCCTCTGGGATTGGGCTTACGAAATGTGGGGATTGTTTTGCTTCTTGGGATCAGTTTACAGGTAAGTTTTACTAGTCAATTTGACCCTGATCTAGCCCGGTTGACAATGGTGCAGATGTGCCGGATGTGCCTACCAGTGGCGCGAAAATTAATGGTTCTTCAAAACACATGATGCTCCTGATTCTAAATATTTCCACCAAGCGGGTGCTTTAACTTGAGTGAAGGCTTCTCTAATTTCACGCGTGCACCCCGGATTCTAGTTGTTTCAGTTGCATTTCAAGGGTGACACGTTCGTTTGACACCTGGGCCTGATTAATCTTGGTTCCAGCCATCATGGGGTTTGATCGTCGCTAGTAGGAAAATGTTATTCTCTCGTTGCCGCGATGGAAATCATCCCGTGCACAACGACCGCAGCTCCAGTTGGTTGCATCAGGAAGTTTGCTGTCTCCGCCCGCAGGCCGCAGCACAGCCCCCTGATTGGTTCGGCATCATTCGCCTATCTGATCGCGCAATGGCAGAATCCGATTGCGAGAGATAAGATCGATAAGATTTCGCGGGTATTGACTGCCGGATGCTAAGGTAGTATGAATGAGGCTATTGTTCGTCCCCCAGACATCTCATGTGATCCTGATCATCTTTGACACTGCCCATCATATTCATATACTCCGCTTTTGGTTTTATAGAACCTTCTAAAGGAGTCCAAAGGTATATAAACCCATCTGACACTCACCCCTTCTGCACTCACTCACTCATTCCTACATACAATCATGGGTTTCCTCGACGCCTTCTCTTCCCAGCAGTCTCAGTACGACAACGTTCGTTTCTCTATTACTTCATAAACAACACATCTTCAATGACACACTTACAGTACCAAAGCGATGATGCACCTCACCAAGCTACCTTGAGCCACGAACTCCTTGGCGGCGCCGTCGCATTCGAAGTGAGCTCAGTCTTTCCCTCCCATAATCAGTTCTCATGTTGGACATCAGGCTGCAAAGGCTTACGAAGATCACTGCGCCAGGAATGGCAAGCCCCAAAGCCACGCTTTGGCTAAGGAACTTTTGTAGGTCGTGCCAGATACATACATCTCGCATTGCTCATGTAGTATTCAGCGCCGGTTTCGCCGGGGCTGCCGTTGACCGCCTGGTCGAGACCAAGGGTGTAAGTACTTAGTTATTGGAATTACACGCTCTGACAGAACACTGGAACAGGCCGACGCGTGGTCTGCGCACCAGAGACAGAGAGCGCAATCGCATGGTATGGATTTTATTTGTCGCACGGTGATCCATTTTGACGATAGGTTACTTGAAGCTCAAGAGCAGATCCAGGAAACATTCACCGAAGATGTTTACGAGTCGAACTACTAGATATACTACATGTCAAATAACCTGTACTTGATACTTCAACCAAATAACCTGTACAGCCATGCAAGGCATTTCAATTTCATGGACGAGCCATTTCGTATATACAATGCCAGTGGGAATACATACATAGCCTGCACAACAACCACAGATCCTCGATTGATCCCCGACTCTAAAATGGCGAATAAAGCTATGCAGCCACGTCATTGCGCTTTTGTGAACCACTTCTTCAAGCTCGTTTTACCCATCTTGTCGACTGCCCTTTTGACATCATCCCAGCTCAAAGCACTTCGATATCGAGCGAATCCTGGAGCGATGCTAGTAGACGAGGCGGCTACACATATGAATATTTTTTCACCAATCAGGTGCTCAAACCCCTGGATTGTGTTCAACTTCAGCAGCTAAAAATAGGTTGATAAGAATTCTGAACGCACCCTCATCAGAACTTCCCGGGTACACCGGGACACGCCAATGCTTCCGCCTGCAACCTGGATCGGAGCCGCTGCCGAAGCACGGTATTGTTCACGGAAAGCGTCGTAAAGCATCTCAAAGGTTACTGCGTCATGGCCAGCAGTATGAGCATGCACGGCAGCTATAAGAAGACAGATCGAGGGGTACGGCAATGCTGGTAGAGGGGTCAGCTGAAACCTTCATGCCAGGGGAAATAAATCAACGCACTACTTAAGTGAGGGAATGGATCACGTATACGTTGCGCATGTACTGCTGATGAGAGCTGCGCACAAGTGGGAAACGGAGACGAAGGAGCTAGTGCAGCGACAATACCAACCTATTCAATGGTCAGAAAAGCTCCCGAGCTAGCCACCATTGCATCGCACCAAGATTCGTTGAAGGACCCTAATGTCGTGCGTCACAGCAACAGTTTCTTGAATTTGTTCGAGCACTTTTCGATCTGCGATAAAACTGTCGATAGCCAGGGTCCATAACGGCTCCCACTCTTCCTCGGGGGCTTCAATTCGGGCCCGTAACACTCGTTCTATAAGCTTCATCCAAAATGACAGCTCTATCGGAGCAGCGGTACGTAACATCCGCCCAGAGAACCTGCTCTTGACCCTTTTCTCCAAAAGGTTGATTGTATCTATCCTGGTACTTACCCCAATGACCGCAATGCCATTGTGTCCTTGACCGACTCTACAGCTTTGCGCAGTATCCAGCAAGCAGTAAAGGAGTGCCTGCCGAGCATGTAACGCGAAGAGGTCGAAGGCGTCTAAAATGACTACCACTGGCCGCGAAAGCGTGGTCAAGGCTGATACCAACGCGGGGAGATGAGACGGGGGAGGGATGTCGATGCTTGGGCCGGCGTCCAGGAAAGGATTGCCATCATCGTCTTGGTCATCGTCGTTATTAAGTTCACCGAGGTAGGTTTTGCCTGTTTGGAGAGAGAGCTGTCGCGCGATCTCTCGAAGTGCGAGCTGATCGTTTAGTTCGGTATGACCCGAAAGCCTGATAACAATCGGAGTCTGGTTCAGAGACGCGATAGCTCGATCTACAATCTTGAAACATTGGCTTTAATAGGTTAGACGACGGGAAGATGAGGGCAGCTTACAGCAGTCTTTCCGCTGCCACGTGGTCCTAGGACAAAACAACTATTGCCCTCCCCACGAGTGACAGTTCCTGCAAGCAGATCCTTTAGTTGCTGAGAGGCTACCATGTTGGTAAGGCCAAGACTAGCATCCTCGTCGAATTCCATACTGCAGTTTTGTAGTTCCAATAGCATAGCACGCTTCTGTAGACGGAGGCATATGCCGAGATGAGAAGGGAGATTACGAGGAATGCGGGAAGGTGACTGAGGTCTAGAAGCTGCAGGTTGATCTTTCTTGGCGGACGTCGGCTGTAGCCTATCCCTACTCGTTGCATTCGGAAGTTGATTGATTCGTTTAGGGGGGGTCTTTGGAAGTAGGTCATTCTGAGGGGCTGAAAGACGGCTTGGCGATGGAACAGCTAGTTGTGGTACGTGATATGCAACACCCGTGGTTGTGGTAGGTGTCTTAGCAGGGGGTTGCCACGTACTAGGCGCAGGTGAGGCCGTAAAAGCAAGCTTTGGGAATGATCTAGGTGTCGTAATTTCTACAAAATGCAGAAGGACGCGTCCAACGTGAGATCTGGGCGGAGGTGTTGTGCAATTGACTGGCAGTTTGGGGGGAGACAGATTCAGCTCGTCTGCGTCATCAGAGTTTTCAGGTTCTCCCTGCTTGTGAGAACTCGTCATCGAGTCGACGTTCTGTTTTCCATTCCTTTTCGAAGGTGACGAAGTGTCGGTCTTCTTGAGGGGCGACTGCCTGGAAGCCGGCTGTGTCGTGCGGGTTCGTGAGGGGCGTGCAGATTGCACTGTCCCATCCAGTTGTGAATCAGCTTGGAAGCTTGTGCTACCCTGCTGGATAACTTTCTTCGGAGAGTTACTAGACCTGGACCGAGTTGATGGTGCAGTGAGTCCAGAATCGTTCTGTCGAGCGCTGGCTCTGGTGACGCGCTTTGGAGAAGAAGCCTCAGTGACAGCGTCAGTGTCCTCACGCGTCTTGCGTTTAGGCATTTGTGATGATAGATGATTGAGATCAGGAGTAAGTAGCTTCAAGGCACTGTCGCCGTAATTTAGAGTCTCAGAACGCGCCTTGTCACGCGTCTTCAAGTGGTCACAAGTGGATGGAGTGGATGTGGACGGTGTCACAGGCCCACCGTTTGTGACTTTACTGTTGACCAACTCATGGGATTCACAGGGCAAGTTAGTTCAGCACTAGCTTGTCACGGTTATTCTGATACACGATTCAGGCTTGCTCGATGGATCAATGCACCCAGCACAGGTCTCGAACTCATCCGTGAAAATATAATGCGAAACCACCATGTTCGTCGCAACGAAACTGAATCCTCATCCCGGTTCGTTGATGCCGCTCGCAGGGTCAGCTCCGAGGAAGGTGGTTCTTGAGCGTGAAATCTTACCGCTCGACACTTGGTTCAATACCCGGCCTTCAAGTCCACTCAGAGCGCTCGATGTGTACTCTGACGATGAATGAGAATGTTTTCGTCCTTCTGGAGGATCCTGCAGCACCTACTCGTGCAGACATTGTAACGAGTGTTCAGAACTCCCAGACTACTGATGGACAGGTTTTCCCAGTCCCGCCACACTACCGAACTACCTTTCTCACACTCCGTCCGCCCGGTGCATTAGAACAAGTTCTGCATCAGTTGAGAGCACGTTGGATCCCCGTCAGACAGACAGCCCCTGGTGCGCAAAGAAGTCAGGGCGGGCAGCAACTCTCTGTAGAAGGTTTTGTTTTTGCTATTGGCAATGACTGGCTCGTCCGTGTTGGTCATGTAGTCCTTGCTGGTGGTGCCGTCAAAGGTATGCTTCTTGAGGTGAGCGATCAACATTTGTAGGTGGCAAATTAATTTTTATGTATGACGGTGCACAGGCCGAGTATCTCCCCTTACCGGTTCTTCATTCTCAAACTGCAGACGGAACCTCAGAGCTTTTATCTAACCTTCTCACATCCGTCCTCCCAAATATTCGAGAGGCTAAAACGGTAGCTGTCACCATCAGCGATTCTCAGTGGGAAGAGGTACTTTGGGATCGTGAGGAAGAGGAGAGACAATTGTCACAAGAGAAAGCAGAACTGGAGGGAGATCCAGATAATATATATGTCTTTGGCGATGAGGGATTAACATCTGAGAAGAAGGGGGATTGGATAGGAGTTGATAGAGACCGTAGATCGGCTTTCTTGATTATTGGCGCACTAAAATCAGAGGGCATTTTGTAGTTTGCAGATACTTCTGATGTAGTTTTACGCTACTGGTGATGGAACCGTAGAAGTTCTTGGCGCTTATAGTATGGTTCTTCGTAACACCCACTAAACGGCCTACTCATGTCCATGAACGTTTAAACCACCATAGGCACCTTCTTTCATTCGACCATGTTATGGCGGTTTCCAAATAGCTGGTATGCAAGCGCCTGCGCCCGAAACTTGGCAAGGCACTCCTCCAGTCAGGTCCAGCCCCAGTCAACCGCGCTCCACTTTTATCAAAACCGCCAGCTAGAGCTCTATGCTTCAAAGGAAGCAAACAGGCTGAGCCTCCGACAGCTCGTGAAACTGCTTTTGTGAAACTATTTCTTAACATACTCATGGCGTGACATCAGGTGTTCTTTGGGCGGTCTATGGACGAGGAGAAATTGATCAAGGTGAGCGCTTGAGGGGCCATGATTTTAACGCTAATGTTCAATCTCATTTGTTATAGAGCGCTAATTACGTCCGCACCGAGCTGCCTGTCCGCATCGCACACAGGCTAATGGACTTGCAAGCCCTTCCATATGTTGTGGTAACTCAGGAGGGCGTAGCTCGAGTCTATGAGGTTTGTTCCAATAACACTATTTCATAGTTCGATCTTGACCTCGGACGACTTTACGCAGTTGTATTGGTCTGCGTTTGAGAAGTCCGTAACTTGATTGTGCACACTGCAGAACGCACTTTTTCTGACTCGTTATAAGGTTTCGGCGCTACCCTCAAGTCACCACTTTGGAAGAGAATGAGGCCTTTTGTAAATTTCTCGAGAGTGTGCTGGACGAGCAGTAATACACTATCTTTGGTCCACCGCGCTCTTGGTTCTGACAACTAATATGCCAGTGCACCCGTCATACCAAGTCTGTCACTGGGACTTTCCCTTTCATCTCCGCACCTTTCACCAGATTCACTAGATGCATTCATGAGACGCATGCTCGTATCCCGAATCTCAAGGCGTGTTCTCGCCGAGCATCACCTTGCGCTTTCGAAGTCCCTTGAAACTAATAGCCTCAATCACCCCGAGGACCCACACGTTGGCATCATTTACACTGCGCTCAACCTCAGACATTCCATTGACAAGTGTGTCGCGCTCTTGCATGGCAGGCCACACGATATAGCCGATGAGATTGGGGAGAGCGTGCCGAATCGCGGATGGCCGGAAGTGATTGTCGATGGTCATGTTGACACCAAATTTTCCTACATACGTGAACACCTCGAGTAAATTTTTTCACTTGCATCATGTTCAATCTTACCCCGCCTCATTCTCTAGGTACATCATATTTGAACTTCTCAAAAACGTGCAGGTTCTCGGATCACATCTAAAAGAGCGGTTGACTGATGGCGTTCTAGGCAATGACCGCTACTGGACTGAATCACCGGAGTTCATCTAACCTTCCTCCTATACGAGCCACCATCGTTGTTGGCGAGAACGACGTTGGGGTGAGAATATCTGACCAAGGTTGGCACTCCTTTTCTCGCCTGCAGATGAATGTAAAGCAATATCTATAGGTGGTGGACTCGCATCAGCTCGGATCAAGTCACCCTCCGATCTCTTCTCTTTCTCTCACATTCGCAATGCAACACGCATGGATGACACGCGGCTGGGCGCACTACGCTCAGCTAGCTCGAGGGGCGTCAAAGCCACGGTTGCGGAGCAAATACGCCCATGGCGGACTGAACAGTCGAATGTGAATTCAAACGATAAAGATCCTGAACGTGATGCTGGCATTGCGCCACATCCCAAAATCGGGCTGGGCCTGCCTATGAGCAACATATTTACAACGTGCGTGGTTCTTGGCCAGTGCCTTCATAACGGTTAACTGAGCTACCTTTATAGGTATTTCGGAGGCACCCTGGAGTTGGTTTCCCTGGATGGATGGGGTGAGTAAGCTTTGCCCGTCGCATTCGGGCCTCGTGTTGATTTTATGAAGGAACGGATGTCTATTTACGCTTGCCCAAGCTGGTAAGTTTTTTTTAAAAAGTCAGCAGGTATCAACATGTGACGCTGGGCCAAGGGCACGAACCTTGAGGGTATCGAATTATGAGTGTGTACAGGTGTGTACTCTGTCACACTGTGGTGCTGTTCAACTTCCTGTGGCATCAAATAAACGCAGCTGGTGAAATTAATTCTACCTGATGTTACTGTTTGCCGCATGTGCATAACCGTATTTACAGTAGAACATTGCTCGAAGTGCTGTATCCAGATAGCCTAGCGCTGCATTGTCGTATCTTGCGAGTTCTCCGGAGATCACCGCCTGCTCACAATTGTACCTGTGACATCGCGATATAATATTAATCCCACTACCTTGAAGTAGTGCCTCCGGGAGTTCGCACGAGTATGTAATAATAGCTTGACATATGTGTCAGTGAGTGTCAAAGCTAGTTGCTGTGCATACATGACTGGCAACACTAGTCACCCTTCGACCTAGGGCGTTTATCTCTCTCTTCTCTTAACTCATCTTCCACTTTGTTCGATGTCCTTGACGTCCCTCTTTAGAGCACCAAACCTGGTTCACAATGAACAGTGATTCCTGCAACCCACCCCCGCCTTCATACGAGCTCTCCCAGCAGGGCCATGACCGGAAGATCGTTGAGAAGAAACTCCAAGAGCTGCTTTTATCCAAAATTCCTATTCACGCCATCGAGGAAGAGCGCGATGAAGACGATAGTAAAGATTCTAAGGAACCAGAAGAGCAGAAGCAGAAACAGTCTTCAGGATTGTTCCAGACCTCAGTACAGCCGCTTCACATACAGAAGCGTACACTTCGAGGACCTCGCCCCCTTCCTCCAAGCCCAGCAGACGCCCAATATTCTCGCAGCAAACCAGCTGCCATTCAGCCAATTGGTCCTCTCAAAGAGGAACCAGAGCACGGGGAGTATCAAGAGGTTTTCTCGCCTCCTCCACCCTTCACAGCTGTAGGTCCTTCTTTTGAGGGACCTCCGTATGAATACTCGATGTATCATGTCAGTGGCTCTGCGTCACAACCCCAACCGAGCCGGACTTCCTTTAATCCACCACCTGTTCGTCGTGGACAGCACCGTCCCTCCTCATCATATTCTCTCGCTGAGCCACGTACAGAGACTTCCCATCGACGCATTTCTCATGGCTCTTGTCTCGAGCCCTCTAACTCGAAGCATTTAATGCCTTCAGGAAAAAGCTCCAATGCCCGACTGAATTTTAACCCATCAATTGCCTATGCGACCTCATCTAATACCATGTATGATTCTTGGGGGCATGCATCTGACTCGACGGCAGTTAATCCTGCTTCACTCTACTCGTATGTGATACATTTGCCATTTTGAACTTGGTCATCTGATTGATGGCGCAGCTCGGCGGTGTCATCCTATCTACATCCAGTGCCAGCTGTCAACCCAGGTCCGTCCCACATGTGAGTTGTCAACCTTCGGTCAAGTCCGAAACCTACCTTATACATGTGATGTGAAAGTGGGACCAGGAACAGATTTTCAACGCCTCCTCGACCTTCTGCATCTTACGAATCGCTTACGCCTGCAAGCAGCCCAGGATCTCCTGCTTTGCAATTCCATTCACCTTACGCACCTGTTTATTCGGCTTCTCAGTCGTCGCTTCCTCGATATGCTCAACTCAAGCCAAACCAAGGGGGCCATGTTCGATGGACCTCAGAAGTTGATTTTAAAGACAAATATCCGTGATATCTCATATCCTTTCCTTACTATTTACTCAACTGTACTACAAGTCTCAGACGTCCCACACTCATTACCCTCATTATGATATCTTACTTCGTGTACATACATTCCTCAGATGTAGCCCAAATAGTATGGAGTCTCTTGTCTTATTACTGCTATGAAATCACAACTCAAAAGTGCTTTTGCGTATGAAATCACAACTTCAAGTTACCATCACAACCTAGAATCTTCTCTTGTCACGTTTTGCTGACCAGCCGATCAACATACTCTTAGAGATAGGTGACACGGTGGACCCTCACTGTCATGCAACGCTCGAGCAGTCAGTCGACAACTTCAAGTTCGTCAGGCTCAGGCAAACCAGCCGACTATGTTACTTTTGAGCGTAGTGTGGCTGGTTTCTCGGACGACGCTGTTCACCGTGCAAAAGCCGCGCAGCTCAAGCTAGAGCATTTCTACAAGGTTGCTGTAGAAGCAGCTATCGAGCGGAATACCAGGTACATTTAGAATTGCCGGGTCGACTTAGAAGAAGGCTCTGATGGGTTCGCAGGCGCGTTGAACTTGAAAGGAAGCTGCAGATCGATATCATGACGTCCGAAGACAGGAAACATCGCCAACTACAACAACTGGGAAAGAAGGAGTCTACTTATCTTCGACTTCGGCGGACGCGGTTAGGTTTGGACGACTTCAGAACAGTGAAGGTGATCGGGAAAGGTGCTTTCGGTGAGGTGGGTGGTATTGTTAATTTGGTCGGTATGCACTATACGATATCATTGCGTGCAGGTCAGGCTGGTCCAAAAAACTGATACCGGTAAAATTTACGCTATGAAGACATTGAAGAAGGAGGAGATGCTGAAAAAGGACCAGGTACGAGTTTTTTCGTTGTGACAGATGCAAGTGTCTGGAACTTTCTTCGCAGTTGGCCCACGTTCGTGCTGAGCGCGACGTTCTGGCCGAGTCCAACTCCCACTGGGTGGTCCAACTGTTTTATTCCTTCCAAGACCCACAGACGCTGTATCTTATCATGGAGTTTCTCCCTGGTGGGGATCTCATGACCATGCTCATTAAATATGATACATTCTCTGAGGACGTCACTCGATTCTACATCGCCGAATGTGTACTTGCCATCGACACTGTTCATAAGCTTGGCTTCATTCACAGGTCAGCATAGCCTTTCTTCACTTTACTATTCTTATACGTCCTCGCAGGGATATTAAGCCAGACAACATCCTAATCGACAAGGATGGCCATATAAAACTGTCCGATTTCGGACTGTCGACTGGCTTTCACAAGCAGCATGATTCAAGTTATTACCAGCGGCTTCTGGACTCTTCTAACGGCGTGCAGTCACCGGCTGCCGCCGCCCGTAACAGTGTCATGGTCAATGCTATCCACTTGACTATGTCAAGCAAAGACCAAATCGCTACGTGGAAAGCCAACCGTCGAAAACTGGTAAGGACAGAGTGCTATGCTGTGTCCACAGCAAACACTTATTTGATGACGTAACAAGGCGTATTCGACTGTTGGAACCCCTGATTACATTGCCCCCGAAATCTTTCAACAGAAGGGTTATGGCAATGAGTGTGATTGGTGGTCGTTAGGTGCGATTATGTTCGAATGCCTCGTCGGATACCCTCCTTTCTGCTCCGAATCTACGCACGACACCTATCAAAAGATCATCCAATGGCAATACCACCTAGTGTTCCCGGATGATGTCCATCTAAGTCGAGAAGCTGAAGATTTGATCCGGCGGTATGATGTCCAAAATATAACTGCTGGATAGTTGTGCTTACCTCTTCGGTAGACTTATCACATCTCAAGATCGGCGATTGAATATCGAACAGATTAAGAACCACCCGTTCTTCTATGGCGTGGAGTGGGACACGATACGCCTGATTGATGCACCTTTTGTGCCGCATCTTCGCTCGATCACGGATACGTCGTACTTCCCTACGGACGAGATTGATCAGGCACCAGCTGAAGCTCCTGTAGCGGACCTCGCCGATGCTCAAAAGGACCTCGCGTTCCTTGGGTATGATATCTATTCAGCCTTATCTTGTTGTCGGTTATTCATATTTCGACAGATATACTTTCAAGCGATTCACGATCTCATCGCATGCTGTTTGATGTTGGACTATTTCTAACGGCCATGTAATATATATATGCAAGTTGTATGCAAGGTTTGTATACATGTACGACTATACGAAGGACTCGTCGTAATTTTGATATGACACGGTGCGCATGTACCATCATGTACGGCTACCATATATTGAATTCAGAAGGCCAACGTTTTGGGTATTGACGATGTCCTGGATTATTCGCACAGCCATCTCCGTGCGGACATTCATGAAGTATGCCAACCGTCTACCCAGACTCTACGTGCACCCTGTTAGCTGGGAACTTAAGTTCCGGATTATATGACGGGGCGCATGTTGGTGATAACTCAATATATCACCCATCGAATATTTTGGAGTTCGGAATTCCATCGAAAGTCTCATGCTGTCGATGATAGGATCTCAGCCTGGGACTTGTACTACGTGCGTATGTAGATGGCCAAGCCGCTCAAGCATAGTTTTCACATACCTATAGATCCTGGTGTATCGCATTCGCAGTGCAGAGCTGGGGGCCGTCGGCCTACCAGGACGCTCGAGGCAGTGTTCTTAATTTTCAAGATTGCGACAATTTATGATTCGCCTGAGGTAAGTGAGGATTTAGCTGCGTATGTTGTGTCCAACCAGCGAGCTTAATATCACTGTGACTGCATTCCAGCTGAGATCCCGCGCCCCAAGTACCATCACCATGCGCTTGCATCGTCAATCATTCCCTTCGCCATGTTCGATCACATAAGTCTGGCGCAGGTCGGTAGGTCTCAAGAGTCTTGATAAGAAATTCACAAAATGCCGTTGCTACCACCTGTACACTCGACTCAAGCAATGGGACATACTACACGAGGTCGAGTTAGTCAACGTTGATTGTATGGGCGTACCGAGTTAATCATGTTACCGTACGTGCCAACATTGAGCGTGAACACCTCTGTTTAGTTGTAGTATGAGCTGTCGTACGTTAGAACGGACTCGGATAGTGCTACAGTTCTTGTAGACTTTGTGTAAAGTAGCCTAGCTAGTCACCTGCATCGATTGCTGAGCGCTGAGCACTGAAATTTAGGGAATATACAATGAGTACTATTACTAAGTAGTAAGTAATAGTCTCGTGACTTTCATGATGCGAAGTTTTTGGCAGCATGTCATGATCACAACTCATCAGCAACTGTAGTAATTGAACGGATTTACAGCCATTGGCTCAAAGATCGCTAGTCCACTTCCGAAAGTCTTGCTCAAGCATGTCACAATCTGCTGCATTTGCTGGCTTATGGTCGTCACTTCCAACACCATTAACACCATGGGTGTGAGTTTACCGTCATTTAAACTTCAAGCAGTGAGATCAAAGTTTTCTAGTCTGGACGTTATACAATCGATGGGGCATACCCAAATGACACCTGTTCAAGCTTCCACAATACCGCTGTTTATGCAGCATAAAGACGTAGTAGTCGAGGCTGTGACAGGTTCTGGCAAGACGCTAGCGTTTGTCATCCCTATCCTCGAACGTCTTATCAGAAGGGATACTAGACTTAGAAGAAACGAGGTCGGTGCACTGGTTATCAGTCCCACAAGGTGAGTTTCTGAGGAACTCTTATATTACTCAACGTCTAATCCTAGTCCTTCTTCGAAAGAGAGCTTGCAACTCAGATTCATTCCGTATTTTCTCTCTTCCTGAATGCCCAACCAGATAATAGCACATTGAAGGATGAGAATGGAGAAGGATCACCACCACCCTCAACAGACACTGAATACTCAGGAGCAGGATTTCCTCCACCCCTTCTGCTTGTTTCATCAGATAAATCTTCCCCAGCTCAGGATATACAGCGTTTTCTCTCTACTGGTGCTGATATCATCATCGGGACACCTGGACGCATGGAAGAATTTCTTATAGGAAAAGGGAAGACTGTTGTTAGCGTCAAGGAGTTGGAAGTGTTGGTGTTAGATGAAGCAGACCGGTGAGCCTCTCCCGTTTACAGGAGTAGGAGTTTATTTGCTGAAGACGTTTAAAGTTTGCTGGACCTAGGGTTTCAAGCTGCTCTGACTCGTATCATCACTCATATTCCGAAACAAAGGAGAACCGGTCTTTTCAGTGCGACGATGACAGATGCTGATGCTCTTTCTGAATTGGTTCGCGTTGGCTTACGAAACCCTGCTCGCATCGTTGTCAAAGTTCAATCAAAGAGAACAAGGGGAACGAGTTCGGGAACCTTGCAAGAAAGTCACATCATCGAGGAAAGGCGGATACCTGCAGGGTAAGGTGTATGTACTACGTAACATCTCTTACCTATTCCTCTCTCCTTAGACTTCAAAATTTCTACATCAGCTGTCTCCCATCCGAAAAATTGGTTCAACTGACACGTATAATCAAGCAGGAGTCCTCATCTCATCACGCACCACATTTCATTGTGTACTTTGCGACTTGCGCATGTGTTGATTATTTTTATCGCGTGAGCGTTCTTATATCGACCCTTTGCTCCTGAATTCCAAATGGGATTTAGATTTTACCAACGCTTTTACCATCCAATGTCCAACTCCATTCTCTCCACGGACACCTCCCTCCCGCAGCCCGTACTCGTGCCCTCTCAGCCTTTTCTTCAACTCTGTCGTCGTCCTCTTCCCCTTCAGTGCTTCTTGCTACGGACGTTGCTGCCCGAGGACTTGATATTCCTCATGTGGATGTTGTCATTCAGTTCGACCCTCCATCTGACTCGAAAGCCTTTTCTCATCGTTGCGGCCGGACAGCTAGAGCTGGAAGGAGTGGGAAGGCATATGCACTTTTAGTGGGAAGAGAGATTGAGTATATTGGTCTGTTTTCATACGCACTCACATTACATCTTCGAACTGACGGCCGCGTCAATAGATTTCCTATCCGTTAGAAAAATACCAATCAGGCAGCATCCATCCATACTAGCCGATGGAAGCAAAGCACCGGACACGGATTGCCCCTCGACAGAGGATGATGACGTCAGTACCTTCATGTTCCAAATCAGACAAACTGTCAAGACAGATCGCGCGCTGCATGACAAGGTAGCTGCCTTTTCCAAATCTGATATACGTGGCCATCTCATAGTTTGACAGGCTATAAAGGCGTTTGTCTCCTTTGTTCGTGCATACTCCAAGCATGAGGCCTCCTACATCTTCCGAATCAAAGACCTGGACTTAATAGGCGTCGCAAAAAGCTTCGGTCTGCTGCGTCTGCCACGAATGCCCGAACTGAAAGATCGTGATAAATCACAATGGGAAGGCGCAGAACTTGATGTATGTTCAATAATTTCCAGATATCACACATACTGATTGCTACGATGAATGAAGTGGGATTCATACTGTTATGCGGACAAGGCGCAAGAAGCCAAGCGAGTTGAAGAAGATTCGAAGAAAGCTGTGGTGAAGCACGACTCCGAGACTCGAGCTGCCAAGCGCAAACGTAATGCTGCATGGAGTCAGCAAGCTGATGATAAAAATGACAAAGACAAGCGCCGGACACAAAAGGCGAGGAAAAAGCAATGGCTTAAAAGTCAAAATGTTGTTGTTGGTGACTTAAAAGGTACTCTCCAAACAGGCAGAGCCAAACCAAAAGAGAGTAGCGGAGAGGACGACTGGGACGAACTGGCACGAGAAGAACGATTAGCCAAAAAACTGCGGAAGGGGGCTGTTTCGCAGAAAGAATTCGATCAGGAGTTCGGTGACTTGTGAAAAATAGGCCATTGTCTCGTTCTTGTCTCCTTCCGTACATTCGTGTCCTCCGGGGCACCAAACCATGATCGGCGTATCTTAGCATGTAATCATTGTGTCTCCCAGCGTCTGAATGAGACCGATTCAGAAGTCCCATACGAGAACGTCGTTGTCGACCGTGCTGCGCAATGGTGTGGACAATATCCGATTTTCTTCTTGCTCTGTTCCCCTGTCTTGTATATATGCTCTCCCAAATGGAAAGGATTAGCACTCAGAGCATCGCTGTATCAGACGAAAGCCGCGAGAACCAAACAAGTCCAAATCTTTGATTTTGACTTGGACTCGACTTTCATCATGGACGAGTCAACACCTCCACCACCAGATATCGACGCATACCCACCCCCACCCCCACCATCAACATCAACAGGCACGCCAACAGATTTCTTGAAAGGCGTGGTCGGGAAAAAGGTCATCGTGCGTCTCACATCAGGTGTTGATTATCGAGGTATCCTTTCCTTTGCCTTACATCAATCTAGAACTAAGCTTATGTACGTAGGCGTGCTTTCATGTCTAGATGGATATATGAACATTGCGCTGGAGCAGACTGAGGAGCATGTGAATGGGGTAGTTACGAATCGATACGGGGACGCGTTCATTCGCGGGAATAATGGTAAGTCGTTCGAGGATGTATGTCTGGACATGTCATGTTCTGATGTGTTCTCGTATACTAGTGTTGTATATATCTGCCGCAGAACCGCTATAATCATACAGTCGCTCTGACTCTTATCGTACAATGTGAACATACTTCATGCAGATCCTCGTTATGAACGCGGCAGTCCGCAATGCATGTATGACTAGGGACCTGCCTACTACTACACAGTTGTTCACACATCAAATCGACGCCGATCCCAACAACTTTGATTTCTATGCCAGTCGTTCATTCGACATGGCGAGACAGCTTGCCTGGAACGACGCGCTTCAGGATGCGACCAAGGCTGACCTGTTACGCCCCACTTAATATGGGCTAAGCTGGATGGTGACATAGTCAATTAGCATTGAGCCCTCCTCGATCGGCTATATCTCCAAGGGGCCTCGCCCCCTGCGGAAACTAGCAGGTGCACGATGCAATGGCAGAATTAGACCTCGCGTTCACGTTCACGAACGCAGACCCAAAGACGACTCATTTCTTTTCCTTGATTAAGGTAGGTGATTGTCGAATCATACTCATACTCTACGCTTCATCATCGTTTTCAGGCTATCGCGTTGTTCAACGTCAATCCCCGCGAACAGACCGTGCTGCCCGTCCAAGAGCTAGCCGCTCGGATGCTAGTAAGGACAAGACGTGGTCTGCAAAAACTGAGTAATTTGGGTGGTGAATACCAGATCTACCACAGTGGATGGGTCTTGCAGAAACAACGAGATCCGTCAAAAACATAGTAGAATATCAATCTCTGCAGAATTCCTATAACTACAACAGCTTGCTGATCCAACTTGACCTTATCATGCATCCCTGCCACGTAGGTTCGGTCGCATCTATAAAGAAGCAGTGAGTGACAAGTATGAAGTCGAGTTTGAAGAGGAGAAGCTGACCACTTCCACAAATAATGGCAACAGCTGTGGAATGTAAACCAGATCAGGAGGTCTGAGCATGTCTGTGGATCCCTTCGATCTACGCGGTGGGTGATCTGGTGCACCCTGAAGGTTTTCCGCGGAACGTGCAGTTAGGGTGGGGGGAGGCGGGGGTAACGGTTTGTCCGCACGACGAAGTGATGGCGGTAATGGCGGGACAGGAGGGACATCTTTCCAATTCGACTGATGGGAGAAATTGGCAGATTTCGTGCTCCGTAATGAGATGGATCGCTGGCGGGTAGAAGGTGGAGGTTGTTGCACAGGTGGGGGCGTCAGCGGGCGTTGCGGGGACGACATATGCGGAGATGGCCTAGCTGTTTGAACTCGGGACCGAGTTGGAGTTGGCCCTTCCTCCTCGCTCTCCTCGCTTTCGGCATCTTCGTAGCTCCCCGAGCTTTCCGTTTCGTACTCACTAGAAGACTCATCGCTTTCATCATCCGTTTCCTCCGCGGCAAGATCAAGAGCATCACTTTGAACCAGTTCCCCGAAATTGATTTCGCCTACCACGCTGTGCACCAGGGCCTGTGTGGCTTCATCTTCGGCGTCCGCGTCATTATGTCCCTGAGCCCGCGTGAAACGCCTGCGCACTTTTTCTTCGTGTGCGATCTTCAGCTTGTAATGGTACCGAGCTACCTCGTCTATCTCGTTCACCATATTCGTGCGCTCTTGCCCACCGTGGGGAAGTAGCCATTCAAGCGACACCGGTGATCCTAGACCTTCCCGGACGACAGTGAGGAATTTTTCAATCCATTGCATCAGGTTTTCAAACAAGCCCTTCCCGTTTGCATGTACCTTGTGCACGAAAGAGTAAAATGCTTGCTCATGCCGGCCGACGAGGTCAATAAAGGTTTGCACGGTGACCTGGGGATCCTCGTCGCTCACTAATCGCTCGATGGTTAGGCTTTCTCCGTCAAGCATCGGCGCGAAGAACTTACTTTCTTCCGTAGCCTCGACGACCCTAATTAAATCGGTGATGAAATTCTGCAGATCTGATACAGAATTTCCAATATTGGCAGCCCGGTATACTTGGGCTAATGGCGCATAAAAAATGGAGATGATATCCTTCAGCAACTCAGCGGTAACGCCCTGGGAGTGTGTCAGCAGAGATACCGACACTTTGTCAAGCAGGCTGACCTCGAATATTAGTGCAATCAACTGTTCTCGGTCTCTCAACCGGGAATAAAGCTGCACAAGCATCTTTAGATCCTCAAACAGCCATGCCTCCTCGTTGGTTGGCCCATCATCATCGTCTGAGTCCACAAGGTTTTCCCGCTCCCTCAGATATGCCGCATGTGCAATATGCGCCCGGTGCACTCTGCGTAATTGGTCACGATTTAATCTGGGTTCTTCTCCAGATCGCAGAACGACAACAAGTACAGGAATTTTCCCGTTCTTTGCGTCCGTTCGATACGTATCCTGAATGTCGCGCGGGGCGTTGACAAACAAGCGGAGCTTCTCACATATGACAGGGTCATCAACTTTGGCTTTTACAGCCTCGATATCTTCTTCGATAATTGTGACCTCTTCCGTAAGAGAGCTAGAGAACATTCTGGTAAAGCATTAACAGGCTGATTGACCGGTTAAATTCTGGACTACCGTTGAAGGAGACTTCTTCCACCAAACGGAGTCGCCAGAAAGATATCCACCACACCTAGCATTCATCAATACATCAGTCCTGAGAGGGTATATGCACCTTACTGCGTATCATGGCAACTGGACTGCTTATCTTGAGCGCTGTCCTTAGCAAAAAGTAAGGCATCAATCCATGTAAACGTTTCATGCTTGCGAACGTTTCCGACGCAGTATCAGACGCAACGAACATTTGGAAGATCGTCGAGGCTAGCCTACCAAAACGATTAGTTATCTGATTATTGCAAGGAACGTATACGCACGTTATTCTGCCCCATTCTGTCACGGCCCGATAATTAGGAGGTAATTGGTTTATGTCGGGAGTCACCTTAATTATGGCGAAAATATGACTGAGTCCATCTATGAATATGTGAGATTCGCAATAAGCAACCCCTGAAGTTGATAGACCTTTCCCCATGATGTCGCCTTTGACGCTCTTCACTGCATCTCTTAAACCATCGACACGAGCAGCAATTTCGTGCGCAAACCGTTTCCTCCCGTTTTCACGAATTCTATCTGCGTCTTCCCTTCTCCGAGCATCTTCTACCTCTTCAGGACCCAAACTAGTAGGTCCGCTGAGTAAGAAAGATTTGAGCACGGGAGAGCTCCCGATTACCCTATTGTTCATGAGAGAGTGCAGATAAGCTCTAAGGGTCAATCTGTTCTTTTCCCGGGACAGCCGCGGCGGAGATCTCCCATTCCAAGACTGGTGAGAAGACGAGGAGTGCGGGAGCGATTCAGATGAACCGTCCGAGAAGGTGGCACTGCAATCGGAGAGGGTTGTGCGTTGCGTCCGTGATATGGTGGATATATCTGGAGGAGATGTCGAGCGCGGAACATTGACGATCGTACGATCTTTGACGGGTGGGGAAGGTACCATCTCTTCAGGATGAAATTTGCGCAACTACACAGGAGACGTGATGGGCTGTGTCAAGGATTGAGGCGCACAAATCGTACCTCATCTGCAAGCGTTTTGAAGTCGCCATACCTTCGAGACACGCAAACTTCCCTATCTTCTGATAGCCGAGTCCTGATGATGAATTCCTATACGAGGTGATGAGGACATCGATGATTGATGATCGATATATGCCAGCAAACCTCGTGAACCCGACTGCGGACTCGACCCTTGTCTGTGATATTCCTCACACATACAATATTTACTTCGAATACGTCGCGATGTTTGGCTAACTGTGCCTGCCGCTTCTTGGCGAGTTGCTCGAGGCGATCAAGATCATGTTGGTTGAGCCGGACGACCTCTTCTTGTTCTACTAGCTTTGTACCAGCGCTGAAAAATAGGGCAAAGTTCCGTTCCAGACTGTCAAGCAATTTGAGGCGAGCAGCCTTGGGTTCGTTTTCATCCTCAAGTAATGAGGTGGGGGATATGTTCTTCGCAAGAGCGGAAGCAACAAATACTTGTAGTTTATTTGGATAGAAACTTTTATCTGCAGCTGCGAGGAGAGGGAATGTTAAAAGAAATTGGCGGAACATATACTTCAAGAAGGGTAAATCAAGGGGCTGAGCACCCATTGGGGGCGGCGTAAACGGGGTCCCAAGGTATGCAAGGGTGGAACCACCATCATCAGGTGCGTTTGTTATAAGATTTAATTCTTTGTGGAATTGAAGTTGTATTAGTGATTTCTTCAGGTAGTGAGCTCGGAGAGGTGTCAGAACCAAATAGCGCTCCTCGGAAGGAACAGGATCCTGTGGATCATCATCAGTTGGCTTTGGAACAGAAGGTATCTGACGGGTTGGTCGACGTGGCCGGTGCTTTGAATTGGAGGGAGAGATTTGAGGAGGTGGTGTGCTCATGACAAGGAATGTTGGAAGCCCGCAGTTGACGAAACTCCAATGTAAGACATCAATATACGGCCATGATATTACGTACATCATGGCTGGCACCGCCACTCTAGGGGCTATTTCTCCTTCCTTGTACTGTCATTACCAAGTTAACTACTGCTCGGGGTATACACTTTGGATCCTTTATACGTTCTTCTGTGAGGCTCATCAAGTAACTTCTTCAGTTTAGCAGCAACCTCCTTCACACCCTGGCGACAATCTTCCATGCCCCGCCAAGTTCCGGCCACACTCCAACATTCAGAACACGCTTTTGATGCCTCGTTGACTGTGTCAAGTTCCAGCTCCCCTCTTGAATGTAACACAACCATAATATCGACAAGACGATGGAACCCAGTACACCACGTCTGGATACCACGGTCGGAATTGGTGCTTGTATCAGTCACAAGGTATGACGATGCGAGCCCAATCGCCCGACGTAACATGGTTTGGTCGATAACGCCTGACTGTTGTGTCATACGCTTTACAACATGAATCACAAAACGGCCATAATCAGTTGGCTGGCTTTGTCTTGGCTGTTTTCGTGTTTAGAAACACTGAATTACGAATTATTTGAACTTACCTCCATCTCTACCTGAAATTGATCGAGCAATGATCCTGTGACAAGCATTGACGAATCCATTGTCAGTGTCTGAAGGAAAGAGGGAGGGGATGATAACACCCACAACTTTCTTGCCTCTTCTAAGTATCTTGTCTACTGCGATCTAGAGCAAATTAAGCGGCGCCGGCCCTCCTCCGGAAATTACCGAACCCCGGACTTCTTTCCGAAAGTTCCCAGGTATTCTTTAACTTCACTAAGTCTCCGAGGCTAAGTAGCAAGCCATGGCAAGTCTTCTGGTTAAAATTCTGGGTGCTATGACGCCCCCACCTTTTGTACAACCAACAGACTACGATGGTTGGGAAGTTAAATGGAAATTTTTGGTTTTCCGTCCAGGACGTATGTGCTTGGATTCGGTTTTCTTCTCTAACGTATTCGTGCTCACTGCATGACGCAGTCTTTCAAAGCCAGGCGTATCTTTTAGCTGGATTATTGGCGTATGTAGCCATAGCTATCTACGGCAAATATGTCAATTTCAAAAGAGCTAATTCCTGGTATGTCTTAAATATCAATCTACGCCATCTTTAACGCACTTTCAGGTACAATGCTCACCTCACACTCCTTCAAGACCAATTCTCTTCACCTACATCTGCCTCAGGGCTCATAGCAGATGGGTACACAGACTTGTTCAATTTCTCCACCGGTCGACGTGCTATTGCGTCTCTGCACACTGTATTCTCACTTCGCCCACGTCAAGATCCACTGCAACTTATCTATCATTTCGGCTGGCAAATGTACGACCTCAGGTACAATCCATACGATGAACTCACTCTGGACTTCAAACTCGACGCGGAAATGGCGGCTAGCATCCCAGATTACGTATGGGCTGTCCTCGCAAAGGATGAATTCACAAATATTAAGGACAAGCGCTGGGATTTGGTTAGCCTCATACCCTACAGTCAATTTGTATTAAATTCACATTATCACAGACGTTCACCCGTACCGCCGATCATGCCTCACTTCCAGCCTCGCTCTCCGTGATGACCGAATGGGCAGATGTGACTGACAACTTGTTCAAGGCTACTCCCACGCTATCACTAACCAAGCTCCTTTCGGACCCTGTTAATCTCAAATACTTCAAATCTCTTTCCGTGACGGACCAGCCGCGTGAACGCCCTGCTGTCCCTCTTACACCTGCCGAACGCGAGAAACACGTCATCTTGTGTCTGGCTGTTCCCTCTGCAAACAAGGCCGCCGAGACCATTCCTCTAGTCTCGGCTATGTTTACATTTATTGACGGTTTAACGAAGATGAATTTGCGGCCAGAAACCCGTTCTAAGATGAAGAAGGTCCGAGAGGATGTGGACAAGGAAATCCGGGAAGAGGCTGTGAAGGAAAAGAAGGAGGAGGCGGCCGAGGATAAGAAGGTCGCAAGGCGGAAAGCAGAACTAGAACGCGTCTCACGCCTGAGTGCTGCAGAACAGAAAAAGGTTAGTCTTTGCATATCGGGTTCTACTTCCTTGCTCACCACTTCCGCATCAGATCATTGAGCGTGATCGGAAACGTGCCTTGAAACGTTCACAAGGCAAGGTGGTGAGGAAATCATAAGTATTCTATTAAGATCACATGGAGGAAGGACTATTGTACATAAAAATATTATTTCATATATCCTTGACCGAGCAGTAGACCATTAAATAACGTCGAAGTAAGATATTATGAAGGTAATGACGGAGAAATAGAAGAACCGCTGGTCCGAGAATCCGTAGCAGGGACACTGCTGTCGCAGGACTGCGCGTGAAATTGAGATGGTGACGCCTGCACCCCACTTTGACCCGCCAAGAATCCCAAGCTTGCGGTCCATCTGGTAAGGAACTTGAGCAGCCACATTGGTTGCATCAAAGCGTCCTTGTGTTCATCATGCTCTTCCGCCTGGCTCATCTCGTCATCCGTCTCATCACCAAGCACCCGTAAATCTCCCAACCCAGCACCTGCACGACATTCCTCCTCCGCCTCGCTCTCTGTCCGTCCCCATACATCCACCTCTCGCTCCTGGCCGCCAAGTGTCCACTGCTTCCGCCGTCGCTTTCTCGAGCTAACGGCGTCCGATCCAAAAACTTTACCCCTAAGCTCGAGCACTTTTGCTCGAGGTGCAATTGCTGCATTCCAGAGGTCTTGCCGTCTGAATTGCCCCGCCTCGTAGTCAAGAGCTGCGACTTGTTGACGACTACTGTGTGCTGCGACCCTTGCGTCTTCCACGCGTTGCAGGGTTTCGAGTTGGCTCGACAAATTAGATAGAAATTCGCGATGATCTCTGTCATCGTTTAGGAGAGCCGCGTTGGTCGCTGCCAGGTTTGAAGATACATGCTAGGACCGGTCCACGTCGTGATGAGCGGGTACCCAAAGAACTCATGAACACAAACGCCCACCTCGAGGCAAGCAAGCATGCATTTCAAATGCTCTTCTCGCCGATGCATGACTAATAGGTGGCCGCAAAGGTCTACATCGATTCGCATCCATTTGAAAGGAAGGATTCGAAGGTCTCGAAAAGCATCCAGGTCATGAAAACTATGCCGTCTGCCGCGAGTGTTAGCACATAATACCTTTATTGGGTCTCATCTGCCTACCTCCGGATATCGAGTCTCAACATTTTCCTCTTACTCTCCGCCTCGCTCTCTCTTTCAGTAGATTTATCAACAGAAGTTCTCTTTTCTTCTGCATTTCCTACACCCGACCAGCTAGACACACGACTTTCGTCTCTAGGTCTTCTGGGATGTCGAGCAAGGAAGGACTTCACGCGGCGATTGTACTCTGGATCATCCCTTGTTAAGGTTAGACGTGGATCTTTGCGCGGTGATGGATGCATCAGAAGGGTCAAGTATGAACGGGTTGTGTGTCTTTGAGATTGCTAGGATTGAAGCATCAGATCACAGTCTAGCCAAATAAGTCACATGTATACATACAGATGGGCGACACCTGGCCGCTGCTGGGGAGGTCCTCGTCATCTCCGCTATTCCTACCTCTTATGATTGAGTGTGAATCTGTCCAGACAAGGAATCGTACTCACGGGGATAACACCACAGACGGTACGGTCAAAACACTTGTATCGGCATACACGTGGCCCGATAAAGACGATTGTGCAGACAACGGCACTGCTATCAACGATGAGCGCCCTGCAGATCTCAATGGAGATGATAGATCTATCGATCTCTTGGACCGATTGATGCTATAATGAAGGTGTCAGCTCGGAGCGGAAGAATTTAAGAAGCTACTGACCCAGCCCAGAACTCCAATTTCTTCTGAACCTTTCCAGACCAAACACCTCCGAAGGTAAGATCGTTATCGTCTTCACCTGGGCTCTTCACTATCCCCAAATCGTCCACATCACTTGACGTAAGTCGTTCCTTATCTTTTTCTCGTACCTTCTCCCGGGTTCTGTGGAATGTTTGCGTGGGTCCTACTGCACGCGCCCGTAAACGAACCGCTACCTCCACTCTACCGGTCCAAAGGGCACGCACGCTACCGGCTACCCGTTCCTTCTCATCCACTTCGTCGGGTTTCTCGTCCTTCCTAACACGCTCTCTTTCCAATTTGTTTTTCTCGGCCCTGGACCCAACTTTCTCATGCTGTTTATCACGCCCTATGACAGCTCTGACGAACGTGCCTAGGTCCGCCACGGGGACCAATACACCCTCCGCACCAGCCACGCCACCGCGCCCCACAAAACCCCTGACACGTCCGCTTAACCCGCGTCGCTCATCATCAGATGAGTTCGGCTCAGAAGTAGGGTCAAGAGTTGATAAAATGATGCGTTGCACACGTCGTGAGTCAGAATGCTTAAGCCTTGCCTCATGCGTGGAGGTAAGCGCATTGTATAAGTGAAGGTTTAAATAAGTTGGGAGCGCCGGTTGAGGAGCTGAGGAACTTGCACCAACGGAAGGCGATGGCGAGCACATGGAGACTGCCGGCGACACCGACAATCCAGGTGAGGAGGCGCCTGATACCGTGATTAGCAGAGGTGTCTCCGTGTGCGAAAGCGTTGGCGACGAATGCATCCCATTATTAGGATGCGAGCTGATGCCCAACAACTGAGCCTGTGTACATGCACTAATGCAAGCAATTAACACGTGTGGATGTAGGAAGGGATCCTTCGGCACTGCTTGTGCAAAGGACGCAAGTTTATTTCGCGCTGAGAGCACAAATGAAAGCAGTGCTCCAACTGCAGAGGGGTCAGCAATACGTTCAGTTGCCTGAAAGTGCTTAATTTGGCCAAGGTCTCAATATAATGAAAGGGTAGTTTCACGGACCTCAATACCTGGAAGGCTCTCTCCTACTTCCACCATCCATTTTTGCAATCCATCTATGGTGACATCACAAAGTAGGCCATCCAACATAGGTAGGGAAGTCAGTGGGAACATTCCACACACAGACAATGCAGCTTGCATCAATTTCACCAGCTCTAGAACAGTGGCTGCAAAGTGCGGGTGACGCTGCGATTGCTGTGCATTAATATTAGACGTGCTGTGCTGCGGAGAGGCGCCAGTGTACAATGACTGGACATGCGAAGAAGAGCTGTTCAATGTGTCAGGAAGGATAAGGGGGCTCGGAGAATGCGAGAAAGTGCGAGTCTGAACACGTGGATTCGGAGGAGATTTAGAGCGAAATGGATGTGTCGCAGACGGAGTGTCAGGAATCAAGTACAATGATTTAAACCGGTCCTTTGTCGTCTCGCTACGAAATAATGAGCGAACACAAAAGCCGATTGCCCAAACCTTACCCAGGTTCTTCGAGCGTAACAGCACTTCGGCCACTGCACCCCATTCGCAGCAGATTGATGTTGCAGTACAAACGTTCCTGTACTGCTAGAAAGTCGCCATCTGGAATCTGCACAATTGTATAATCAGACCGAAAGTTTGCCAAAGAGGTGACCATCAGAATGCCCATGGGCGTCTAAAGCGTATGCATCAGCACTAAGCGAGTATACCGCCGAAGTGCCAAGGTACCTGTTTTGGCCGGGCCCCGTCTTTGCGAAGGTGTTGTACAGAGAGCTTGAGTTCTAACTCTCCCTCCTCGTGTGTCAAACGGTCAGCAGGCTTAAGCACGGTGACAGTAACCTGGAGCCATAGCAAGGGGATGAACATTGCTCCCTGAA